CCTCCAGAATTGGTTTTTTAGGTTTTTTAGGGACAGTACGGCACTTTCTGCTTCTGGGATTGGTCTTTTAGGGACAGTGCGGCACTTTGAAGGCCTGAGGTGCTGAAAGTGCTGTACTGTCCCTAAAAAACCAATCTTTCCGTGATTGTCTACCTGTAAGGGCCTCCAGAATTGGTTTTTCAGGTTTTTTAGGGACAGTACGGCACTTTCTGCTTCTGGGATTGGTTTTTTAGGGACAGTGCGGCACTTTGAAGGCCTGAGGTGCTGAAAGTGCTGTACTGTCCCTAAAAAACCAATCTTTCCGTGATTGTCTACCTGTATAGGTCTCCAGAATTGGTTTTTTAGGTTTTTTAGGGACAGTACGGCACTTTCTGCTTCTGGGATTGGTTTTTTAGGGACAGTGCGGCACTTTGAAGGCCTGAGGTGCTGAAAGTGCTGTGCTGTCCCTAAAAAACCAATCTTTTGAAGAGGGGCTGCCTGTACAGGTCCCCAGAATTGGTTTTTTAGGTTTTTTAGGGACGGTACAGCGTTTTCCGCTTCTGGGATTGCTTTGTTAGGGACAGTACAGCACTTTCAACCCTTCAGATCCCCAAAGTGCTGTACTGTCCCTAAAAAACCAATCTTTTCGTGACGGCCTGCCTTGTAATTATAGGCCTCCAGAATTGGTTTTTGTTTGTTCAGAGAGCACAGTTCAGCAGCAATAAAGCTAATTCAACTATTTGTTAAAAACTGTGATGTAAGTAACATTTTATCTAATCGATGTAATGCCTAAATGACGCGACGAGGTCAAGTTTCCTGATAAGTAGGCTTTAATTAATCTAATTTGCTTTACAACTGTCATTCATTTTGTCTGGTTGAGGTTGAAGTAAAAAAAGGATAGACATTTAGTTAGTTGAATGCTATCTACCTCTTAGAATAAGAAACTAAATGTAGTTTTTTTCTTGGGAAGGCCTATTAAAGTATGTTTAAAGTAATTAATCTAGTCAGGCTGAACCAATTGAATTGTTGTTAAGGATCGTGGCTTGTTTAATTTAAATTATCGAATTCGTTTAGTTAAGGGTATACTAATTAGTTTCATTCATTTGCTTCACCTTTAAGTAAACTAAATCCACAATTGAAATGATTTTGACTACATCAATATCAGCAAACAAAAGGCCGTAGTTACTGTTCTTAGTAAGTTTAGTTCATTGAATTCCTTTAGTTAATTATTGGTCTACGAACTCAATTTATTTACTTAACCCTTTAGAAGACTAATCAAACTGTTGGAAAGACTGTACGTATGTTATTTTCCAGAAACGAAAAACCTTAGTTAAATTAAGTACTGTGCTTGTTCACGAAAAGAAGAAGGAACATGTTTTAGCTCATTCAATGAATGCTTAAGTGAAGCCATTAGGTCAGGTTCCCTATTACGCATTATGTTTTAATTAATGTAGTGTATGGACAAGTTTAATTACAGGCCTGTCTGTTCTAGCACAGAAGCAAAAACACCTTCAGAAGACTAATCAAACTGTTGGAAAGACTGTACGTATGTTATTTTCCAGAAACGAAAAACTTTAGTTAAATTAAGTACTGTGCTTGTTCACGAAAAGAAGAAGGAACATGTTTTAGCTCATTCAATGAATGCTTAAGTGAAGCCACTAGGTCAGGTTCCCTATTACGCATTATGTTTTAATTGATGTAGTGTGTGAACAAGTTTAATTACAGGCCTGTCTTTTCTAGCACAGAAGCAAAAACACGTGTAACATGATTCCGTCACACGCTGTGTTGCACTGTTTGCTGCGTCTGTCGCCTATGTGTTGGGCAGTATCCTCCATTCCGTTCATGCGATTCAAAAAACACGTTTTTTAGTAAATCCTACGAAAAACACTCTTTTTTAAGTAAAACCTAGGCGCTACGGGGGGGGGGGTAGCATATATATATATATATATATGTAACACACACACACACAGAGACAGAGAGGGCTTAGAGGGGAACCGGCACACCCGTTCCTAAACCCTAAACCCTGGTCACTCCTGCACTGTCTGAATTCCCATGGACTTCGGGTGCACGAGGTAGAGAACAACCTTCAGCAGGTTGCTCTCGGGGAGACTTCAGGTGCAAAGGGCTGCCAGAAGTCATTCTTAGGCTGGTTCTTAGCAGGGAATGACGGGATGAGGCACCCTGTGTATACCCTTTAAGGCATTATACAGGGTACCTCATTCCCTCATTCCCTACTAAGAACCAAAAGGTCCTCTTCAGAGAGAGCTGGGGCTGATGCTAGAAGTTGGGTCTCGTAGTAGATGTCCACATAGAAAGAGATAACCTGAGAGCATCCGGTCAGACCACTTGCTGGAAGCTGCTTGCGGTTTCCCTTTGGGGATGTTTGGGATGTTCCCCCTTATACATATACTGTCCTTAGTAGGGATTTGAGTATTCTCATTAAGGACTGTTAGTTTAAGGGGGAACATCCCAAACCCCCCCCCTCCCAAGCCCAAAGAAAAACGAAACCGAGGGAGCGGCGTAGAAGGGTATGCTAACAAGCCACTCGAAGCAGTACAGCGCGAATGACCTGAGAGCCAACATCTTAGTGACCGATGACTGCTGTCTCAGGTTCGCGAAAGCATTCTGGGGCCTCCTTGGCGATAGGTCTCAGGGGAGCGAACGTGGAGACTTCAGAGACGCCGAGACTGCATTTGTGGGTCTAACCCTGCAAACCCCAAACCCGAAGTCCTAAACCCTATAAGCCCGAAACCCATGTAAGCCCTCTAAGCCCTGAAGCCCAAAGGTTATAGGTCTGTGAGTTCAGGGCTTCAGGCTTAATATCCTCTAAGACCCCTAAACCCTGAGACCTAAACCCTAAACCCGATAACCCCTGTAAGCCCTGAAGCCAACACCATGACGGTGCTTACAGTGCTTACAGGATCCGAGGCCCAAGCGCTGCGCAGTAGAGGCACCAATAAAACAGCCTCCGATCGGGATTCAAGTAGGCTTTAGGGCTTTGGGTATAGGGTCTAGGGTTAGGGTTTAGGGTTTAGGGTTTAGGGTTTAGGGTTTAGGGTTTAGGGTTTAGGGTTTAGGGTTTAGGGTTAAGGGTGTAGGGTTTAGGGTTTAGGGTTTAGGGTTTAGAGTATAGGGTATAGGGTTTAGGGTTTCGGGTTTCGGGTTTCGGGTTTAGGAGAACTGTCGAAGGAGGAGGTACATCTTAAAAGCCTATACGCCCTAAAACCCTGCTACTAACCCCAAAAACCCTAAACCCTGCTAAACCCTAAACCCGAAGCATCTCAAAGTCGCTAAGTCTTTGGCCACACTTTTCTCTCGGGCGACTCCTCCTGCAAGGAATGAAGCGTCTGCACCTGAAGCTGGTTAGGCCGTTATGGGGTTTAGGGTTTAGGTTTAGGGTTTAGGGTTTAGGGGGTGAGGGGGTGAGAGGGTTAGAGGGTTTAGGGCGCACGCGCGCCATCCTTATGTACCATGTGACTTCTATAACCCTAAACCCTTCACTTCCCTCGCGGTTGTGCGCAACGGGTCATGCGTGTTGCTTTTCTGCGACCAACAACCGTCTGCGCTCACTTGAAGAGCCAAATATCCCGTAGCCAGGAGGAAAGCCTTCTTCAACTGCACATGGACTCTCTATGTGGCCCAAAGGCGCTGGGTACGCTGAGACTCTGGCCAGTGGGAACAGGATTGCAATGCAAATCCACCTCAACTCGCAAGCAAACGTGCTGATGTGCCTTGGACTTCTGTGCATCTAAGGCGTGGACAGTGGCAATATAACCAAGTAGTAGGGCCTTGGCCAGAGGCGGAAATGGCGGGCGCATTGAAACCCTAAACCCTTAAACCCTAAACCCATAAGCCTCCAATCCCCCTGCAAAGAGCGCTCTCATAGTAGCTTGGCTGCTGGAAGTATAGTGTTGGAGGGGTAACCCTAAACCCCAAACCCCAAACCCAATGAGCAGGGTGCAGGGTTTAGGGCAACATTTAGGATTGATAGGGTTTTGGGCTGAGGGTTTAGGGTTTAAGGTTTAGTGCTTAGGGTTTAGGGCATATAAGGTTTAGGACCTTTAGGATTTAACCCCAAACCCTAAACCCTAAACCCTAAACCCCTGGGGGTTAGGGTCAAGCTTCCGCAGCACGAAAGCGGTCAGCCGAGGCACAGCATCGGTTGGAAAACGAGCCCCGCCCACTTTGGCCAATGATTCTGGTTCTTGGGCTGAAACGCCACCGCATGCAGTTTAGGGGTTTAGGGTATAGGGGGTTTAGGGAGTTTAGGGTTTAGGGTTTGGGGTTTGGGGTTTGGGGTTTAGGGTTTAGGGTGGTTTAGAATTCGGGATTAGGGTTTACGTCCTTTCTTTTGGATAAGGGGGCAGGGGTGCTCAAGTATGAAGGGTACCGTTTAGCAGTACGCCTACCTTACCTGAAGGTGGAGCATACACCCTATTCCACAAGAATCTAGGTATGTGGATCATCGTAAACCCTAAACCCTAAAGCCTAAGGTGATTTTAGGCAACTGCCCCTGCTAGCTTAGGGCGCCAAAGGAGCCGTGAATGCTGCTTCCCACACCCTTTTCAATTTCAATCCCCTAGTTGCTGAGTACCCTGAACCAAAAAAGGCCAACTTCTCAATTACGGTCGGATTACAAAGGTCCAAAAGGGCCTAGGGTTTAGGGTTCGGGGTATCTTCCTACTTTTTGCGTCATCCGCGGAGCATCTGCAGGCTGCCTCGGCAGGTGATTTGTTTCGTCCACGACACTTGCGTCTCGAAGCGCGGGCAAAGCGTGACGGAGATGGCCGAATACAGGGGCCTGAATAACTAGAATATGGTTTTGGGGGTTATTGTAGTATGATTATAAAGGGACCCTAAGGGAATACTTTTAGTAATTATTCCACCCCTTTTTTACCACTCCCCATCTTGTATGAGCCACCATCCCGTCCCCTAGTCTTGTAATACTCTCAGCATGGTATATGTACCTGCAATGTACTGCAAGGTGTGCTCTAACATTCGGGGGGGAGGGGACTAAGTGACTAAGTATCCCTCAAGAGCCTGCACTCTTCATCGCCTGAGTCTGATAGGTCGACGATGACCGCGCTCGCAGCTCGCGGGGCTACTGGCGGAACTCGCACACCCTGGGGAGGGCTGCGGCTCCGTGGGGCCCCGAAGGGGGCCCCAAGGGGAGCCCGCTGTGCAGGGAGCCGCCGGGAAAAGGCCTCCCAACAGGTCTCCAAGTCGGCCTTCCACTGCAAGGCCACAGCCGCCTCGCTGCTCACCCGTGCGCGGCGGACGGAATACATCTCCGTGTGCGCGCGCTCGGCATGCAAGGGCTGCTCTGGCGCGGTTGCCGCAGGCGCGGGTGCCAGGCGAAACTCACGCCCTCCGTCTGCCAGGTCAGCAGCCACCACGCAGTCTACCTTGGGGCCAACATGAACCTTAAATCTGGGATCACGCGCCCTATACGACCCTGGGGTCGGCCTTTCATCCCTTTGACAAAATTTTACATATAGGGCCCCTTATAAACCCAAATGAGGAAAATGTACAATATCCAACAAGTCAACGCAGTACCGTACAGCCCCCAGACCTAAGAGTATCCAAAGGTAGCCTTTTTGATTTAGGGGCTTTATAAGCGAGCCGAAGCCCTAAGCATAGAGGGAATGAGGGCCTACTCTGGGTCCGACCCCTAAACCCTAACCCCCTCAACCCTCAGCCCTCAACCCTAAACCCTAAACCCCAAACCCACAAGCCGTTTTGGTCCCAGAGGTACGGACACGGACGTCGGGCCCGCCTGGGTCGCAGGGCTGTCTGATGGCTGGGCTGAGTCGGCCGAGGCCTTCAGGGCCGCGACAGCCATCTCCTTCGAGATGCCAAGCTCCCACATCCTTTTTGGGGGGTTTAGGGTTTAGGGTTTAGGGTTTAGGGTTTAGGGTTTAGGGTTTAGGGTTTAGGGTTTAGGGTTTAGGGTTTAGGGTGTAGCACTGCGCAACATGATGTGCCATAAAATGGGGTCTCTTTTTGGCGTTTGGGGTTTTGGGTCCCCTTGTCACCCTTATACCGACCAAAAACCCGCAATCCTGAATACTCTACTACCCTTGAGCCCTAAGCCCTAAAGCCCAGAAACCCTCAAAACCCTAAAACCCTGGAGCCCTAAAGCCCTCAAACCTAAAACCCTTACTCCCTAAAACCTTGAATCCCTAAAACCAAAATACCCTGTTGGGATCCCTACTTGGAGGTTCTTGGTACTTTTTAACCAAATATAACTGTACTTCTCACCCGCTGATAAGCCCCTTAAGTGCCCTAAGATGGCTATAAGTACAGTTTATGTTTGGTTAATAAGTGCCATGAACCCTAAACCCTAAACCCTAAACCTTAAACCCTAAACCCTAAACCCTAAGCCCTAAACCCTAAACCACCTCCACGTATTCACGTCTCCAAGGGTCAGTTCCTGCCTGGAGACGCGTGGCCGCAGTCCTTGACAGGGAAGGCACAGCCTCCTACTGCTAGGCTTTCAGGGTTTAGGGTTTATAGGGGCTAGGGTTTACAGGGTAAGGGGGTCTAGGCTAGGGGGTTCGGGTTAACTTTAACAGGGTTAGGGGTCTAGGGGCTTGGGGTTTCAGGTTCAGGGTTTCGGGTTCTGAGAAGGGAACTAATTACAAGGTCAGTTCTGTGGTTTGAGGTCCTTTGTTTCGTTCTTGGGGCCTCTGATCGCCTACCTACATCTTGAAAGCCCTAAACCCTACGCCCTAAACCCCAATCCCTGAACCCTAAACACGATAAACCCCAAAAAGGAGCCGGGCCTTCCAGTGCCTGCCGCACAGCTGCAGCGGCACTGGCGGCACTCGCGGCTTCGGTGTCCCCAGCGCAGCTTCCGCTTGGCCCAGGCATGGAGCTGGCCCGACATGGCGCAGTTTTTTGCCAGGGGCAGTTACCCTAAACCCTAAACCCTACACCCTAAACCCTGAACCCTGAACCCTAAACCCTAAACCAGCTCTGTAAATTCTGGCCCCTTTTTCGGGCGCCCTAGAGCAGGGATCGCAAGAAGAGGCATAATGTATAGAACTGCACCGTAGGGCTCCAGGATGCACGGTTACAGGACACAGGCATTCTTTGCAAGTAGGGAACCTCTGGCCCCAGAGTAGTAATACTACTTCGTCCCCTTCTAGGACGAAGTGCTAACTTGCCCTTTTTAGAGTAGTTGCTACGCAGCCCCAATTTAGGACGAAGTGCCAACTTGCCGTTTTGGGGTACATGGATTCCCCTAGCCCCTGAAGCCGAAACCCTTCTGTGATATCAGGTGCTGAAAGTGGGAGGCGAGGCAGGAGATGCCGGCTGGATCCGTGCGAAGGGTTTAGGGCTAAGGGTTTAGGGTTAAGGGTTTAGGTGCCTGCCCTTGGGTGGATGAATTCCAGGGTAGGGGTCTAAGGGTTCAGGGTTTAGGGTAAGGATTCTCAGGGTTATCCAGAAGAACGGTCTAAGGGGTACCCACCTGAACGGTCCTCGAGGAATGCATGGAACTGCTGAAGGTACGGTGATCCAAAGTTTCAACCCCCCCCCCCTCCTAAGCCCTACAGGGTGTAGGGTTTGATAGTTGGGGATGCGGGTGTGTATCTGTGTATGTATGTATGCATGCATGCATGTATGTATGTACGTAATTCTACATATATACATATATATATATACCCTATAGCCCTAAACCCCCCCCATTGTAAACCATAAGTCCTAAACCCCAAAACACAAATTGTAAGCCCAATTAAGACACTAAGCCCAGCACAGGGAGCTGCCCGTCCTCAAGTTTTACGTGACACCATCCATCGACGGCGCGTGAAACGTTCTCCTATCTTCCATGTGAAACTGGGACACGAACAGTTAATGCTAGTTTTGGCTTTCATAAAGTTTGGGATTTAGGGTTTAGGGCTTGGAGCTCTTTGTTTTAGGGTCGACTAGCTCAGGGGTGTAGGGACCACTCGTCCGGCATTCTCTTGGCAAGCACCCTCTGGCAGGCCACGAGCTCAGCCATGCACCTAACACTACAAAAAGGTCGCATCGAATGAGGCGCCTAGTAGAGCACTTGCCCACCGCGCCTCCTGGAACCTTGGACCCTAAACCCTAAAGAAAACTCCTCAAAACGACCATCTGTCTTAACAGTAAGGCAAAATGCTAGTGATTTTCAGGAGGACCTGTGCGACACGGCCCTTCACCTTTGGTGAAACGCAAAGAAGCCACGAAGAACCGGTATGGACCACTGCTTCACCACTGTCGCTTGCGGGCCAGCACGACGCACTGTCTGCGCTGCTTCGCATGAATTCTTTTTTCTGTGCATCTGCAAAGACGTGAGGATCCAGTGTTCGACGTTGTCGCACACTGCATGCAAGATTAACTTGACGACGTGGGCGCTCCGACTGCAAAATAGAAGGACAGGCAAACCAATCGCAAACTAATTCGAGCTGAAAACATGGTGTGGCGCCGTGCCGTGGGGCATTTGCTTTCAGTACCTCGGTCCAGCTGTTTAGGCTTTCGGATTTAGGGCTTTTGCGGGTTCTGGGTTAGGGGTTTCGGGCTTTGCTACTAGGACACCATGCCAGCAGTGGGTGGCTTCATGCGGAGATCACCCTGCCCCATCATTGAGACCGATAACCCTAGACCCTGGGGTCTATATTGGGGGTCCCTTATTGTCGTAAACCCCAAACTGGGGTAGCTGGAGTCAGCTGGAAAGCTCAAGCGGAGGGTCTTAGGCTCCTGGCGCAATGCTGGCAATGACCTGCCGCTGCTTCTGCCACTCCTCGCCTGAAAATGCCGGCAGAGGGTGCTGTACCTATAAACACACATAACACAAACATGTATACATACATATATATATGTCTATATGTATATGTATTAACACATGTTAGGAAACAACAACGCCCACCAGTATCGACCTTTCATAGCGTGCCCGAAACAACAAAGAAGCCCTAAACCCAAAACCCCCCAAGGACGAGGTAGCTACAGGGTTCTACTTTGGGATGTTCACTCTTATACTAACCGTCCGCAATTGGGACTATCGTACCCCCGATTGTAATCCCTATTCAGGACTGTTAGTATATATAAGGGGGAACCTCCCAAGTTCTACCATTTAAAAATTCAGAACCCTTGCCAACAAGAACACTTGAAAACATTCTTCCTTATCAGGGCGATATAGGGATCATCATCTTGACCTTTTGTTTGTTTTGCTTTTTTTGGGGGGTCCTAAGAAAATGGTAGGGTTGCTTGCCATCCTGCAGTTGCGCAAACTGCAGGAGCGACATCAGCAACGAAACCTCAAAACCCACAATAAAAGCAACTGCTGAGCCGAAGAACAAACACAAAGCACGGCAGACACAGTTAAACTCACAGGAGGAGAAGCAGATCAGCAGCATCAAGCCATTCAGGCCCCCTGACAGCCCCTAAAACCCCCGAACCCTAAACCCTAAACCCTAAACCCTAAACCCTGAACCCCAAACCCTAAACCCTAAACCCTGAACCCCAAACCCTAATCCCAAACCCTTTGAGGCCGGTGCCCATGAAGCGCCCTTGGAGCCAGGATTCCGCGTACTCGATCTGGAGCTTCGGGTCCACTTGACTGGCCAGCGTAAGACTTGGTGGGGGGGTGTTGGCGTGGGTTTAGGGTTTTGGGTTTTGGGTTGAGGGTTTAGGGTTTAGGCTTTGCGGTTTATGGTTTAGGGTTTAGGGTTTAGGGCTCAAGGATTTCAGGGCCTGGGGTCCAGGTTTTTGGGGTCGCGGGTAGACTCTCTGGCTGGTCCACATGTACACTTTCGCGCGCGCCCGCGCGCGCAACCCTACCTTATCGGTTTGGGGGCTCGGGTTTAGGGTTTAGGGTTTAGGGTTCAGGGTTTAGGATTAAGGGTATTTAGGGTATTTAGGGTATTTAGGGTTTAGGGTTGAGGGCTTAGGGTTTAGGGTTTTTTGGGTTTAGGGTCCCTTGTGCTCAGGCTGGCCTGGCATCCTCCTGAAGCTTCTCCACCACGTCGTCGATGTCAACGGCGCCTCCCCTGGGTTCTCACTGGCCATGTTTCTGCACATTCTTGCATGGGGTTAGGGTTTAGGGTTTAGGGTTTAGGGTTTAGGGTTTAGGGTTTAGGGTTTAGGGTTTAGGGTTGGCCACAGAAGCGCCCTTCCCCTTAAACCCTAAACCCTCGACCCATGCCAGATGACTTGGGTTTGGGGTGCTCAGGGGTGCTGCGGCTCCTTTAACATTCTGTAAGACATTGGGCAAGGATGCCCTTCAACCCCCCAAATAATTGGGAAACATAGAATTTTCCCAGGTTCCACGTAGGCTTAGTTGCTGAGTTCATAAGCCCCCCCCCCCCCCCAAAAAAAATTTACGCTTTCAATTCTAGAGGTGATTGCACGATCCCAAAACGTGTGTAAAGTGTACTCATTCAGCTACTGAGTTTAGGGTACCCACCGGGGGAGAAAGGAAAAAACAGGAACTCAGGGTTTAGGGTTTAGGGTTGTGGGTTTAGGATTTAAGGCGTTTAGGGATTTGGGATGAGGGTTTAGGGTCAGCAAAAGCTGGGCCGCGCACTTCTCAAGGTCCAGGTGCCAGAGCGCACAGCACAGGCAGCTCAGTGCCACAGGCCTCTGCGGAAGGTTTAGGGTTCAGGGTTCAGGGTTTAGGGTTTAGGGGTTTAGGGGTTTAGGGTTTAGGGGTTTAGGGTTTAGGGTTGAGGGTTCAGGGTTTAGGGGTTTAGGGTTTCTGGCTCCACTTAGTGCCGAGCACAGCAACGTAACAACAAATCCTATATACCCAACCTTGATGGTCAAAGTAAGCCCTCAATCTGGAGGTGCGCCGAAAATTCGACCTTTAGGAGCCCAAACCTGCTGAATCCCACAACATTTTCTGACGTACTTGCCTACCACAAAGGTAGGTTCCGGGTGTCTCTGAGGGTAAACCGCCCGGACCCTAAACCCTAAACCCTAAGCCAGAAGCCCCTAAACCGCACAAGGCCCGGGGTTCTGGCACGATGGCGATGCCGAGGAAGAGGATTCCCAGCCTGCCAAGGGCTTTTGCGGTCTGGAAATCTGGGTTTACCCCTAAACCCTAAACCCTAAATCCTAAACCCTAACCCTAAACCCTAAACCCTAAACCCGAAAAGGGCTTAGGGTGTAGGATTGAGGGTTCAGAAATCTTGTGGTTCGTGTTGATAACCTAAAGGATTCTTCAGTCTAAAACCTAAACCCTTGCTGTGTATTCCTTAACTAATTGCACCGCGCTCCCTGGGTCCATGAGACCCATGTGAACGCGCTTCCTGCAGTATTCGCAGGTGGGGGTGCTTTACACTCAGAGCCCTTTCCAGCGCGCTAACACACAAGCGTTTAGGGTTCAGGGATTTTGATCAACCCCCCCCCCCCCCTCCACATGTGCTCACTGGCGCCAAGTCCCCTGCGCTTCGCCAGTGCCCATAATGCCGCCGGTGTATGGACCTGACGTCAAGAACACAGTAGGGACCACTAACGTCTACTTGCCCGTATATACCACTAACATGTAAAAAAAAACACGCCATGTCTACTCCGATGCAGCCATAGGCCCCTGGGGTCACTCCCTAAACGCTAAACCCTAAACCCTAAACCCTAAAGCCTAAACCCTAACCCTAAACCCTAAACCCTAAGCCCTATGGGCCATTGAATGCCTTCAGAGCCACTCGGAACTTAGGAGCCAGGCTTTCCAAAAAGCCATTAAACTTACTGAGGCCTGTCAGGGTGTAGGGTTTAGGGTTTAGGGTTTAGGGTTTGGGGTTTGGGGTGTGGGGTTTGGGGTTTAGGGTTAAACCCTAAAGCGTTTAGGGTTCAGGGTTTAGGGAAAGTTTGTGTTCCGGGCTTAGGGGTTTGCTGAACCCAAAGCCCGCAACGCCGTGAACCCCCAAACACAAACCCCAAACCCCCGAACCCCTAACCTAGCCCTCAAATTTCCAAGCTAATCCCCAAAACTCTGGGTTTCCAGTTTAGGGTTGAGGGTTTTGGAGTTTAGGAATGCCCAACCCCCCCCCCCCCCCCCCCAAGAACAAACAAAAATGAAATACATATATATATATATATATATACACCCCAAAAGCGATCCCCCAAAATTCTAGGAACACCCTTCTGGGCCTCACGGTTTGGGGTTTAGGTTTGAGGGCCTGGGGTTTTCGAGGGACAGAAGGGTTGAGGGTTTAGCGTGTGAGGGTCAGGGGCTTGGTCTTTCTGGCTGTTTGGGGTTCGGTGTTTCCCCTAAACCCTAAACCCTGAACCCTAAACCTACACCCGAAATGTGGGATTATCAGGGAATCCTGCTTGTTGGATGTTGCCATCTTAAATCGTCACTTGTGCGTATTCTGCACTTAGGGGTGAGAAGGATTGAGGGTCTCCAAAGTGGTCTGGGGGAACACTCCCAAAGACCCAATACCCCTGTCGAAGCCCCTAAACCCTAAACCCTAAACCCTAAACCCTAAGCCCTAAGCCCTAAGCCCTAAGCCCTAAGCCCTAAGCCCGAAGCCCTAAACCCTAAACCCTAAACCCTAAACCCTAAACCCTAAACCCTTCCTGGCGCACTGGGCGCCCGGCAAAAGACCCTGTACACCCCGTCCTCGCATATTCGCACCGGAAGCGGCCTTGCGAGCTGGGGTTAGGGTTTAGGGTTTCAGGGTTTTTGGGTTTTAGGCGTTTAGGATTTAGGGTTTTGGGGTTCCTGAGTATATAGGCATTAATATTGGACCCTCTTTAACGTGCCCCCCCCCCCCCCCCCCCCGAACAGTCGAGGCTGGCTTTGTCCCTGTTTAGACGCTCCCGGGGGTTTATATGATTCTAATCGGGAGGAGTTTAGAAAAGTTTAAAAGGGGCAGCGATGCCCGGCTATCTTTTTTAAAGGCGCGCCACATGGAATTTTCTTACGGCGCCCGGACGATTTGCCTGTAAAGAGGGACCCCCAAACAGTCAGGGTGTCCTGAATAATTCGGCCAAATTGACTTTAAAGCGGAGGCCCCTACTAAACAGGGCCCAACATGAATAACTATAATAGGGTTTTGGGGTGGTCATTATAGTATAAGGGTTTAAGGTTTGGGGTTTTAGGGCTTTTGGGGCTAGGGGCTCTCTTTGGGATGCTAAAAGTACTAGGGGTCGATGGGTTCGTTGGGGCAGGTAGGGCGCTTAGGGGTCTATGACCGGTGCAAGTACCCTAAACCCCAAACCCTGAACGCTAATTAGACCCTCTAGACCCTAAACCCTACACCCTAAACCCCACGCCCTAAACCCTACACCCTGAACCCTACACCCTTAACCCAAAACCCAAAACCCCAAACCCCACACCCTGAACCTCTCTGTCGAAAAAGTCTCGGCAAGCAACTCTGGCATTGCGCTGCGGTCGATGAACTTGAAGAAGGGGCCTCAGTAAAGCCGAATTGCACAAAAGACTAAACCTTGGGGTTAAGGGTTGAGGGGTCGCCTTCTACGTCACATAAAAATAAGCCCAAGGTCCCACCTAGGCTTGGTTTCTGAGTTTACAAGCCCCCCGCCCCCCCCCCCTTTTTCACAGGGTTTAGGAAGTTTAGGGTTTAAGTTTAAGGGTTACTTTGTTGCTGAGTTCATCTGGCACAACAGTGGACAATTTCTGTTCTGCAGGTGATGATAATAAAGTGTACTCATTCAGCTACTCAGAAACTCCAACCCCCCTCTTCAACCCGAGAAAAGCTGTTCTAAACCCGAAGCCCTAACTCTTTCTTTCCTTCACTCTTGCTATATATCTCTCTCTCTATAGATAGATAGATAGATAGATATATATATATATATATATATATATATATCAGACACCATGAACCTGAAGTCTGCCAAAAAAAACAGGGCTCTGGCTTTGGTACAGCTGGGAACTGGTGTCCGCTTGCAGCGCCTTCCTGGTTGTCGGGTTTGGGGCTTGGGGTTTAGGGTTTGGGGTTTAGGGCTTGGGGTTCAGGGTTTGGGGCGCAGGGTTGATTCAGGGCGCAGAGTTGATTCGGGCCCATGGTTGAACTGAAGTCCGCCTGTCTCAGCTCAGTCTAAGAGCCAAGCAAGAGCGAGATGAGGCCCCAGGGACTGCGCTCGTCCGTAGCTTTGATGTCCTGAGTCGTTTAGGGTGTAGGGGTTGGTGTGCACAGGTACCCCTAAACCCTAACCCCTAACCCCCAAACCCTAAATCCTAATCCCTAAACCCTCCCTAAACCTCAACGCACACAGGCAGCTCGGCGCTTGGCACTCCAGGACCCCACCACTTTGAACACGGTGTTCACCACCACAGAACCGTTGGAGAGCGAGGCCACCTGCACCAAGCAAACATGTTTGGGGCTTCGGGTTTGGGGTTTAGGGCTTGGGGTTTAGGGTTTGGGATTTAGGGCTTGGGGTTTAGGGCTTGGGGGCGGTTTGTGGCTTATAGGTCTGGGACCCCAAACCCTAAACCCTACACCGCACTTCAGTGACTCAGGAGGCTGGGCCACAGCCTGGATTCTGGTGGGATCTGCGTTGAGGATCTTCCCCATCTCGTAGACATAGCCTCAGTGCTTTGCTTCGCAATTCTTCGTCTTAACTCTTGGCGGGTCCTGCGCCCAGAGGGCCCAATACCCTTAACAAGGGAAGACACGACATAGGCATTCTGCATGTGACTTGAGATCAGAGGTATAATCCTGAAATTCAGGCGTGTTGGGCTCTGTGGGTATAAACCCTACACCCTAAACCCCACGAGGTCTCGGCGGTAGATGAAATATCGCTGCTCCGCGTCGTCAGATGATCGCGAAGCAATTGGTATTCCACCTCAAAGTTCAAAGCGCGTTGGGGGCAGGAGGGCGGCCAAGAAAATGTGCCCTCGTTTGGTCTAAGGGTAGTTGGTACCCTCTACAAATTTAGGGCCCTTTGCCTCAGAACCCTGCAGAGGAGGGTAGGGACCATATTAAGGGCCCACGCACCTACTCTTAGAACCCTAAACCCTAAACCCGAAACCGAATGAAAAACCCTGATATACCCCGTGAAAATCCAAGGGCCCATACTTCACAACCCTCTACAGAAGGTAAGGGGGCCAGATTTCATGGGACCATGTAACCTCCCGAAGGCTGCTTTAGCATCCCAAGCCCTCCCCAAACCCCAAACCTCAAACCCCAAACCCCAAACCCCAAACCCCAAACCCTAACCCCCAACCCCCAACCCCCAACCCCCAACCCCCAACCCCCAACCCCTAAACCCTAAACCCTAAACCCTAAACCTTAGACCCTACACCCTCTACCCTAGACCCTAAACCCTAAACCCTATAAACCCTATTCCCTAACCCCTAACCCCCAAACCCTTGGAGGCTCTCCTACACACAACGGGTTTAGGGGGTGCAAGCCTCTCGGTCGGTTGGGTTCTTGCTTGGGAATAGGAATCCCATGTGAGTGTACCGGAACCTCCAGAGTCTTAGGACCTTAAGGGTCTCAAGGGTTTAGGGGTTTAGGGTCTTAGGGCTTTAGGGTTGTTTGGGGCCTCAGGGTCGTTGGGGTCTTAGGGGTTTCAGGCCTTTTGGGGGGCTCTTGGGGGTCTTTGGGGTCTTAGAATTTTAGGGTTCCCGTTTTTTTTGCAGGGGGTCTTGGGGTCTTAGGGTTAAAGGGTTTCAGGTTTTGGGGTCTTGGGGCTTTAGCATCTTCGGGTCTTGCGGTTTTGGGGTCTTAGGGTTTTAGGGTCTTAGGGTTTTGGGGTCTTTGGGTTTTAGGGTCCTTAGGGTCATGGGGTCTTAGGGTTTCAGGGTTTTGGGTTTGTTTGAGGTTTTTGGGGGTTTTAGGGTTTTGAGGGCCGTACAGTTTCGGGGTCTTAGGGTTTTAGGGTGTTTTGGGGCTTTTAGGGTTTTGAGGGTCTTAAGGCTTTTGGGGGTTTTTGGGGTCTTAAGGGTTTGGGGTCTTAGCGCTTTGGGGTCTTAGGGGCTTTGGGGTCTTAGGGGCTTTGGGGTCTTAGGGGCTTTGGGGTCTTAGGGTTTTAAGGCGTTAGGGCTTTGGGGTCTTGGGATTTTAGGGATTTGTCGGGCTTTTAGGCTTTCGGGTTTTGAGGGCTTTGGGTTTTGGGGTCGCGGGTTTAGGGTCTTGGGGTCTTGGGTGTAGGGCTTTGGAATTAAAAAAGAATGGGTTCTAGGGTCAGGCGCCGAGCGCAAAGTCCAGCTACACAAAGCTTCAGCAGATGCGGACACGGACTTTAGGTAGCCTCAGTATTCCAGAATCTTCAGAGAGACCTGTACATGGGGCTCACGGGATAGTCGGCGTGCCCTGACTTGGCATAGCGCTTTGAACCCAGGCATAGCTTGCGACTGGGTGAGAAGGTCTTGACTTGCGTATGCTTGCCTCTCCGTCGTGCCTAAATCCGGAGCAACAGGCCCTAATCGTTCATCCATCCTTCTTGAAGGGTCTACGGTGATCAATATTTAGAAGGCTAACAGGGTTTGGGGTTTTGGGGTATGGGGTTCAGGGTGCGATATGCAGCTTCTGCCTGGATCCTCAACAGGGGGTCACGTTCGTGGCTCTTTGAGTCTCTCATGGAACGCCAACCCGCTCCTCGCACCATGAAAACGGCAGGAGGGCTTAGGGTTTAGATCCTAAACCCTAAACCCTGAACCCTGAACCCTGAACCCTGAACCCTGAACCCTGAACCCTGAACCCTAGGGTGGGAGGTCTGAAAGGAAAAGCTGGGCGGAGAGTCTCTAGGAGACAGCTGCCGCAGCGGCACAGACCCCCCTGAGTCGGGCTGGCAAAGTGATTGTTTCCCACTGCGAGGCTTCGGAATCCCACCGGTCAATTTCGGCAAAGTCCGAGGCGTAGCCTCCAAAGACAAGCACCTGGAATTGAGCTTCTGGTAGGGCCTTGAAGGGGTTGGTTTACGGGGCTTGATGCTTAAGGGTTTTGGGGGGCTTAGGGTGTTTAGGGTTTAGAGCTTTGGGGATTAGAGTTTATTTTGGGTGTAGGTTCCCCTTCCCCTCACATCCACACCATTCAGTGCTTGAATTTCGCGAGTAAGTGCGTTTGACAAATGTCTGTGACTTGAGATTGGGGTTCTTCTAACCCTACCTTCAAGTACAACCCTCTAAACCCCTGAGCCGAGACCCAAAGGATCCTAGGCCCTTGAGGGTTTAGGGTTTGGGGTTTAGGGTTTAGGGTTTACCCCCTAGCAACCCCTCCCTGGGACCCCTTACTAGGACTCCTCAAAGACAACCTGCCACCGAAAACGCCACCCTCTGGCGTTTTTTTTTGACTCTGCGAGCCCCTGGAACCTTCCTGGGAAATTTTCTGGGACCCTCTTACAACCCCCTGACACGAAACGCTTTGAAACGGAAGAAGTTTTTAGAAGTGGACTGTTGACTTGAGTTTGGCCCTAAACCCTCAAAGGAATGGGTTTGGGTGGCTTGGCCGCCTCTTCGCGCCTCACGAAGCTTTTGAGCTGATCCCGTATCCAAACCTCACAGCATCTACGCCAATCTACGCCCTATTACAGAAAACCCTACTAGACTCTAAACCCTCAACCCTAAATCCTCACAACCCTCAACCCCCAACCCTAAACCCTAAACCCTAAACCCGAAACCCTAAACCCTAAACCCTTTCTGGCCTGCCCGGCGGCAGCGGCGGCGCCGCAGCCATGCCGGCGCAAGGCCGGGGCCGCCAGCTCCTGCCAGCCGGCTGCGGTGAGGCGCTCCGCCGCGGGGGGCGACACGGCATCGGCCAGCAGGTGGTCCCTGGTTTAGCGTTTAGGGTTTGGGGGTTGGGGGGTTTGGGGGTTTAGGGGTTTAGGGTTTAGTGTTTAGGGCTTAGTGTTTAGTGTTCAGGGCTCCAGCGGGTGGCCCCTTGCATGCGAAACAGAACCTCCGAGAAAGCCAAAAAAAGGAAGATACTTAAAGTATCTGGGGCTCCACGACGTCTACAGGAGCTTCCTTACTAAAGTGCTGAGCTCTGTGGCCTCCTAAGCCCAAATCCCTAAACCCTAAACCCTAAGCCCTAAACCTCTTGGCTTTCAGACGAGGCCTCGCCTGGCCACTGCCCCTCCGCCAAAGACGAAGACGTCCCCGCCCAGGGATGTTGCAGTGGCCGAGTGCCGGGGTCCAAGCAACTGTGGTCCGGAGCCTGAAGTAGGCATCCGCGAGGTTTGGGGTTTAGGGTTCAGGGTTTAGGGTGCAGGGTTTAGAGTATCTAAACCTTTAACCCTAACCCACCGGCATGTTAAGGGCACCTATAGACAAAAGTTAAACCATTCCTAGGGCTGAGCTAGGATTAGGATCCCGAGATGGAGTTCAGTGTTTGATCCATCATCATCCGAGTGGGGAAGCTCTGATGCATAAACTGAAGAGAGAAGTTCGCAAAAAGATGGATGAACTCTAAGCTCCAACCCCAAACCCCAAACCCCCAAACCCCCAAGCCCCCAAGCCCCCAAGCCCCCAAATCCCCAAATCCCCAAATCCCCAAACCCCCAAACCCCAAACATTCCGCATCAGGGCCTTTTCGGGGGGGCTCTCGTTGCTTGCTTTTGCCTCTAGCAACCCAAAAGCAAGGCTGAAGCCCCAACCCCTACCCCGCACCCCCCCCCCCTCCCTCCCCCCAACGAAAAAACAAAAATAAGGTTTTGGGGTTTAGGTGTCTAGGGCGCAGGGTTTCGGGTTTGGGGTTTAGGAAACCCTAAACCCTAAACCCCTTCCTCCCCCTTCCCTCCCCCTGCTCCCGCCAGCGGGGCTAAGGCAGCGGCCCCATCGGCCAGCTCCGATGTGGAAGCTCTCCACCTGCTTCTCCAAAACAAGGGCCCCTTTGTCAGGGTTTAGGGTTTAGGGTTTAGGGTTTAGGGTTGAGGGTTTAGGGTTGAGGGTTTAGGGTTTAGGGGTTAGGGTTTAGGGTTTAGGGTTTAGGGTTTAGGGTTCAGGTTTAGGGGTAGGGTCTATCGGTTTAGGGCTTAAGGCGCGGGCTTTCGGGGAGGTGAGACCCCCTAAACCACTAAACCCCAGCCCTACACCCCACACCCTAAGCCCTAAACCCTATACCCCGATCCCCCCCCCCTCCCCTATTTTTGGGGGCCGTCAAGATATGAGCCCTCGCCACCTGGGAGCTCGCCTCGCCAGTTCGCTCGCTGCCGCCGATCCTTGCGGCTGCTGGGCTTAGAAGCTTCGAGGATGTGGGGGGGGATTTAAGGGCTTAGGGGTCTAGGGAGTTAAGGCTTGGAGTCTATTTAGGGTTTAGGGTTTAGGGTTTAGGGTTTGGGGTTTGGGGTTTGGGGTTTGGGGTTTAGGGTTGGGGGGGTTTCAGGCTGGGGGCGATAGAGATGCTGGGTGTAGTGTTGAGGCGGCTGCTGAATGGAAGCCCAGAAGCTTTCATAGAACCCTAAACCCTGAACCCCTAAACCCTCAGCCCTAAGCCCTAAACCCTAAACCCCACCAAACCCTAAACTACAAACCCTCAACCTTGGGGGTTGAAAGGGGCGCTTGTGGGGTTCCGGCCTCATTTGAAATTTAAGGGATGCCATTCAAGGGACGGCCGGAGGGACGGGATTAGGTTGAGGGTCTAGGGTGTTGGGTTTAGGACAAGTTTATTTAGGTGTAATTATAGTACGTGCATGCCCATACAGGAACAGGGGTCAGGGGGTTGGGGTTGAGAGCTTTAAGGGTTTGGGCCTATTTAGCGCTCGGGGCTAAGGGGGATTCTCCTTCTACCAGGGAAGTACGGGGTTCAGGGATGTTACAGGCTACAAGGATATGTGGGCGTTGTCTCAAGCCGTGGGTCACAAACAGCTCGCCCGCACGAACAGCAGTAGCGACGTCGCAGCGGGGGCAGTTCATCGGCGGAAGCGTCTCGCAAGCATTGAGGATTTCGGGCTTAGGCGTACGTTAGGGTCGGAGCTTGGTTCCCTTAGGCCCTACCCCAACCCCCTAAAACCACTCACCCTGCAACATCACAGACCCTGCCCTTTGCTAACCCCAAGCAAACACCAAAACCCAGACCCACAGCCCGACAGAAGCGCAAAACTCCCGAAGCTTTCGAGTTTGCCCAGGGGCTTATGCGCAATCCTTTGGGGTTTAGGGTTAGGGTGTAGGGTTCAGGGCTTAGGGCTACCTACCAAAAGGTAATCTTAACAGTGCTAGTACCGTGACTTCCTCCAAGCCACGCACACCCAGGCCCGTCTTCGGCTTTCATCATATGCTTCATAAGAATGAGATGCCAGTAAGTGTCCCAAGAGTTTCTTCAGCATCTTGACGGGTTTCCCTCAAAGAACTCGTAGGTCTTCGAAACCTCCTAAAAAAGCCTAGGCCCTTAAAAAAAACATGAACTTCAAGCCCAGACCGCGAGTCCTACCCTAAACCCTCAACCCTAAACTCTAGGCCCTAAACCCCAGCCATTCCCCAAGAGCTGGCCCGAAAAACCCAAAACAAGCCCCCCCTACATCTCTAAACCCTTTCAAGCCCCTTGAGCATTGAGCCCCTGAACCCTTATCCCTGGCGCTGTGAACTCTATGAGCCCTGAACCGCAAACCCTAAACCCTCAAATGCTCGCTGAGTTAAGAGTTGCGGCTGTCTCAGCAGTGGTCCGGAGGAGTCCTTGTTGCCTGTCGCGTGCCTAGACCCTAGACCCTAAACCCGAAACGCTAAACTCTCTCCAGGGGCTCGCCTGCCAGGCGCCTGTGCCCACATCAAAGCGGTGGGCCGAGCCCACGACGCCCCGGCGCCCTGAGAGGGTTTAGGGTTTAGGGTTTAGGGCCGTTTGGGTTTAGGGTATAGGCGGAGCCCACGACGCCTCGGCGGCCGGCGAAGGGCCGCGGTCAGGTTGCTGTGGGGTTTGGGGCTTAGGGTTTGGGCGGTCCGACTTACGGGATCTCACTAAGCCGGCGTCGAATTTGAACGTCCACGGCCGCAGCATGTGAAAAATGAGATCCCTTTATACTAGCAGTCCTTAAGAGGGTCATCATAGAGGGGTACTATAACTCCTATTGAGGACCGTTAGTATAGAGGGGAACATCCCAAAGTGAACCACAGCCCAAAGTGAACCCTTAGTTTGGGGATTCAGGGTTTAGGGAGAATTCCTGCCTTGGGATCCTCAGAGCCTTATAATCCCTTGGACCTTAGCTCCAACCCTGAAACCTGAACCCTAAACCCTAAACCCTAAACCTTAAACTCTAAACCCTAAACCCTAAACCCTAATTCCTGAACCCTGAACCCTGAACCCTAAACCCTAAACCCTGAACCCTAGACCCCAGACCCTAAACCCTAACCCTAAACCCTCAACCTTAAACCCTAAACCCTATACCACCCTAAGCCCTAAACCCAAAACCCTAAAACCTAAACCCTAAACCCTAACCCAACAACCATTGCCAAAAGCTATTCAAGCTAAAGCCTCTTTTTCGTGACCAGTCGGCTTGAGGGTTTTTAGGGTTCAAGGGTTTAGGGTTTTAAGGCTTGGGGTTTTCGGGTTTTAGGGTTTTGGGGTTTTAGGGTTTTAGGTTTTGAGGGTGCACGGGTTCAAGGGCTTAAGGGGTTGAGGGTTTAGGGCTGAGGGCTCCCCTGTGTAGGCAACTTTTCTCACGGAATCCCGTAAAATCTCAAACAGATTCCGCGTGTCCGGGTGTACCACATTCTTCACGGCTTGTGATTAGGGCCATCATTTTTCGACAATTGACTATGATGAGTTTCGGAGCCGTAAGCCCTAAACCCTAAACCATACACCCTACACCCTAAACCCTAAAATCTGCACTTTTTTGGGGGGGGGGGGGGGGGGGGGGGGGGGGGGCGAAGGGTGCAGAGCAGCCACTGGGGTGACCCAGCGACGTGCGACTCTTCTAGGGTTTTGGAGCTCTAATTGCCGGCCGAGTGTCCCATGCCCCCCACAGCATAGACTGCCGAACCTGACAACAAGCGCCGAACCCTAAACAACAAACCCTAGGACAAAAGACCCCCATATCTAAGTTCAATTACCACATGGGGGCGTGGGGGGGGGGGGGGGGTTCCCAAAATTAGGGGAATTCATGTTGTGGGGGGGTCCTTGTGGGTGGGCATTTAATTTGCCACCAAAGGGCCTGACATTAATCATTTGGAAAACCCCCCCCCCAAAAAAAAAAAAAAACAAAACAAAAACGGACACCGTAGCTCTTGTAAACCCTAACCCAAAACCCTTTCATTCATATAGCGAACCGGAGTCCACGTGAACCTACTCGTTCGTCACAGGGAGTTGGGGAAATGGGTACCTCATGCCCACCCCTGACCAACTGCTGAGAACCCTAAACCCTAACACCGCCAAACCCTAAACCCCTAAACCCTCAGGAACTTGGGCTTGAAAGGTTGAGGGTTCTGGGTTTAGGGTCTCTGCACCTCAAGGCACATCAAGACACATCCGCATCCTGAGCAAACCCTAAACCCCAAACCCCAAACCCCAAATCCCCAAACCCCAAAACCTGAACCCCAGGGGGCCTGCCGCTGCTAAGGCAAAACGCGTCGTGTCCTCACCCGGGCGCGGGGGAAGGGAGTGCCATTGCCGGCGCATCACATCGAAGCGCAGGAACCGCCTCGGTCTTGGCAGATGGTGAAAATCGCAACCATGATGCAATGTGCTCATCACCGTCATCATCATCAATCATATTTGTACAACCGGCACATTGACAGACACGCAGACACAGAGAAACACACACACACACACACACTGATGTTATGTTTGCTGCACAATGCAGACACACCCCACATCCCCAAGTAGAGTCGCAATCAGCATGCCAACAGCAGGATCATCATCGTCGTCATCATCGTCATCATCATTATCGTCGCTATCGGCATTCAAAATATTTAGAATCCCCCGGCAACAAGAGAAGCGTGGGCGCTATCTGGTGCTATTTTCTGCTTCAGAGTCGTCTGAAGCGAAGCTGCTTGAGGCTGCTTGAGGCACGGTCTTGAACACTCTCAACCCAAAATGATCGACACCCAATATGGGGGTTTCCGAAATTAGGAGTACCTTATTGGGGTCCTTATTACAAGGGGATCCTACTATTTGGGGGCCTATTTAGGGATCCCCTATTTTCGTAAACCCCCATATGTTTTGGGCTCATTCCGAATCTGGGCAAGGGACGGCTTGGACCAAGCCGTACCGCTGTTGCCGGCATGGTCCTCGGCCGTGAGCACGAACAGGTCCCCGCCTCTCGAGGCTACGGCGGAGTATGGGGACAAGTTTGCCGGGAGGTCTTCGAAGCTTCGCGTCCGGAGGTGGAACAGGGAGAGGGCAGGCGGGCGTCCCTGCCAAGAACTCAAGACGTAGATCCGCGCGGTGCCGACCAGCATGCCCGGGAGAGAGCGGCGCACGCTCTCGGCAACAGCACGGGAGGCTGCGCGGAAGATGCACGTTGTCGCTGTTCCGGCCAGCTCTGAGATGGTCTCTGCCACGTCATGCAGCTCCGCAACGGACAGGGGCACATCCGCAAGGTGCGCCTTGCGCTCTTTCGACAAGCTCGCACTGAAGAGGGTCCGCAGAAGCCTGAAGTCCAACTTGCTCCGCGTCTTCCACTTCCTAGCTTGGCGCAAAGAAAAACTCCGACAAATACTTCACAAATATGGGCAGCTCTCTAACCTAGGGTCCTTTTTGGGGGGGTCCTTGGGAAAAAGGTGCTGTACTATATAGGGGACCCTAATTCAGTGAATTTTTCTCATATGATGAGTTCTAGGAAGCGCAACAAAAGCAAACATCTACAAAACAAAAATGTCCCATGGGCCCTCTGAAGCCCAACGAAGGGAACAAATACCGAAAGTACCCCAACGGCCTACCTAGCTTCCCTAAACCCTAAACCCTAAACCCTCAACCCTCAAGCCTAAACCCTAAACCCTAAACCCTAAACCCCCAAACCCTAAGCCCGGCCAGGCTTCCCTACGTCGGCGGGCAAGCTGAGCTCGCTCAGCTCGGGCTCCAGGCTCAAGGACTCAGGAAGCACCTCGGTTGGCCCCAGAAGGAAATTGGGGGTTTAGGGTTTAGGGCTTAGGGTTTAGGGTTATTTAGGGTCTAGGTTTAGGGTTTAGGGCCAGTTTAGGGTTTAGGGTTTAGGGTTTAGGTCCTCTTAAATACTCTTAAACCCAAAAAAAGACAGCAAGCGCAAAATATCCCAAGGGCCTACCTTGGCACTGGCAGGCCCAGAAAGAGCCGCAAACCGGAGGAACCCGAAGACAAGGAGGCATCCGCGGCCAGTGTTGTATTCAAGTAGGTCTGGAGCTCGTGCTGTCGTTCCAGAATGAAATCCTAGGTAGCCCAGCAACCCTGTTACAATCAGGGCGCGACCCTGTCTCTTCCTCTTTGAGTTTCCTAACAGAGCACAGACCAGGGTTTAGGGTTTAGGGTTTAGGGTTTAGGGTTTAGGGTTTAGGGTTTAGGGTTTAGGGTTTAGGGTTTAGGGTACCATCTCATCCTAGAATCTGTGTCTTGCTCCTGGCCGAACAGCAGCTTCCCGAAGCCGTACGCACGCCTTGTGGGTAGGGTCTAGGATTCCTGGGTTTGAGGGCTTAGGGCTCTAAGGGCTCTACGGGCTCTGTGAGCTTTTATGGGTTTGTTGAGGGTGTTCTGGTTTACGTGATATTGATCCTACACCCTCAACCCTAAACCCTAAACCCTAAACCCTGAACCCCAAACAGCATAGGGGTTTAAGTCTTAGAGGCTCAGGGCCTGGTGGGCAAGGCAGCTCGGGAGTCGCCAAGCTTTGGGCGCAAGATGTTGTGCAGCTCGAAGAGGTCACCTGAGTTGCTCTCACATCCATGATATGGATAGAAACAAAAAGGAGAATAGGATATATGTATATATATATATGTATATATATATACATATATACATATGTGTTTTACATGTATGTACATGTGTGTAAACTTATACATACATATCTATATATATATATATATATGCTACTTGATAGCAACAGGGATACGGATTAACAGAATATGGATCGTTCATGAAAAAAGAAGCATGCTAAGAACAAAGTAAGAATGCAGCTAAGAACCATATAACAGAGAAAAAGTATCATGTCCTTGTCTCCTAGCCCAGCTTCCTTAAACAGAATCCAGGCCACGGAAGCGTCGGTAGACCTGCCATTGCCGGCCGTCCGCAGCTGTCGTAACGATGCAGTACTTCACGTGGGTGCGCTCTCGAGCATGCCCCACCACTTCGACCACATACTCCGGCTCCATTAGTAGGCTGGCAGATGCTGCCAGGCGCCCAAGGCATGGGTATTTTTAGAAGCAGGGTTGCCCTATTTTTTGGGGGGGGGGGGGGGTCCTTGTCAGGGAGGTTTCACTATGTTGGAAGTACAGTTTCCCTCACCAAGGATGGCACATGCCAATGTTTCGCATAGCGCTGCGTCGGCCACTAGTTTGGCTGTGCACATGACTGTGGCCAGATCATGTAAACCGAATTTCTAGACCCTAAACAATACATCCAAGAACCACCATGGAAGCTGGCCTGGGTCTCGCCTCTGCTACAAGTGCTGCTCTGAGCAATGAAGCTGTGGAAAGATTTGACTCTTGACTCTTCGCTGGATCTCCCTCTCTCTCGTTTCACTCTCTCTCTCTCTCTCTCCTGAAGGTGTTGCGGAAAACAAGCCTACCTGTGCAATCTCACAAGGGCTGCACTGCTTTCATACGGGTCTGTCATGCGGATGGCCAGCATGTAGTCCTGCTGCGTCAGCAGGCCGGCAACACTTCCAGACAGCATGGCAAGTCGGCGAATGAGCCTGTGTGTCCCGGGCATGGAAAGCAGCTGTATCACGCATACCTTGGTCAACAGACAAGAAGTCAAGAAGGATGTGGGCTGCAATTTCGGACTCATCTGTGGCAGGCATTGGTTGAAGGGGTTTAGGGTCTGCCCTAAACCCTAAACCCTGAACCCTCAACCCAAAACCCTAGCAAGGCACCACAGCGATGACGCAGGCTCTAGGCGCCGTGCACTTGCCAGCCACTGGGATCTTCGTCCTCGGACAATGTTCCACACAGGCGCCATCCACCTCGGAAAAGGTGCCAATCTTGTGGAAAAAAACTTAGGGTTTAGGGTTTAGGGTTTCGGGTTTAGGGTTTAGGGTGAAAACAAAGTGCACTTGAACAGGGAAGCCCATAGCCTCAATCCCTAAACCTCCACATGCCCTCGAAAGGACACCCCAGAAATACACCCACCAAAGTTCATAAGGGAGCCATACATACACTCCCCGGGCTTAGGGTTAAGGGTTTTTCGGCTTTACGGTCGGGTTTAGCAGAAAACATCAACCCTGCTTCATAAAAAAGTGGAATGAGGGAAAAAATACAGTAAACACCCCTTAGCCCCCAGCCCCTGAGGTTGTCAGCAGCACCCTAGACCCACTGTTTCTGAGTAGGGAAAGAGGGACTGACGCACCTTTTGTCCTTACGTATACCCTTTGAGAGATTCTTTAGGTTCCGCCCCCTCATTCCTCGCTAGGGTTTACGGTTTGGGGTTTCTCAAGTTTAGGGTTTAGGGTTTAGGGGTAGACAGTGACCTTGGACTCTGGCCAGGACCAGAGGAACAGCACAGGAGGGCCGTACCACCACGAGGCCAACCTCGGATAGGGCGCTTCAGGGTTTCTAGGGCTTACACTGCAAGATCTGTACTCTTTAGGGTTTAGGGTTTAGGGTTTAAGGTAAACTTTACAGGCACTACAGGGTTCATAGGGTTCATTGGGCTTGTAGGGTGTAGGCCCTGGGTGAAGGTGAGCCTGGAGGCTTCTAAGGTGGTTTAGGGTTTAGGGTTGAGAGTTCAGGGTTTAGGGTTTAGGGATTAGGGTTTATGGTTTAGGGACTTACGGCAGCTGCCGTCCAAGCACAGCGGAGCTGCCTCTTTCAACAACCCCCTAAACCCTAAACCCTATCGCTATACTCCCCCTTGGAACCTTGTTCAAAATCAGTATTGCCAATGTTCCCTTGATATATATATATATATATATATATATAGTTTTTTCTATATGTAGAGAAATATATATATATATATATATATAACAAAATCATTCCTAAGGCGGCTATAAACTGTAGATAGGACCCCACACCCTCAACCCTCAAGCCATTTGGCCTCTCGGCCCTGGGGGGCGGGGGGGGGGGGGGGGGTTGGGGGGGCGCTTTAAGTCTCCCTACCGGATTTGGGGGGGGGGGGTCTAAGTAGGTTCTGAGCGGCTTCATAGCTTCCAGGGCTTGTGTTAGGTTTCAGGGTTGTAGGTTTCGGGGGCTTGCAAGTGCGAGGGCTCCTTCTGCATGATGCTACGACAAAGGCCCCCAGCCCTAAACACTAAACGTTCCCACCGTGTGTACTGTCGGGGCTGGTGGATGCGGTCGTCGTGGAAAGTAGTATATTCGTCGTTAAAACCAAGGGATTCGACAGTTGGTAGGGGTAGAAGAGTGGCAACAGTCAGGACATACAAATATCAAACAAAAAAACAACTCCAGGCATTCATTGAGTAAGCTAGGTCTTTCCGAAATTACGTGTGTTAACAGGCACTAAACACTGTTATTCGCAGCGTTCAGGGGCATCGCACCGAAAAGGCATGAATCAGAGCTTCTCGTCCAAGAACTGCTTCCCTTTATCTTAGGGCATGGTGGGTGCGCGTTTTCGGAATGGACTAAACGGGTTCGACATCGTGCGGGCATGGAGGCTCCGGCCATTCGCACGCACTGGCACGCAGACTCTGGCAACAGTACAGCACGGACCACCCACAGAGTCCCCGTCACCAAATGGCTGGCTTGCTAGCTTGGCCACCCCCGGAGCAGAAAAAACGCCTCCGGCGTGCGGCGCTACATGTGCTCGGAAGGCTACACCCGAAACCCCATGACCAAGGGACCCGAGACCGAGAACCACGGCATTCTCATGCTTTGAGGTTTCAAGTGTAACAGTACCCTTAACCTTAGTCCCTGTTCCCCAAGGAAGAAAAAAGCATCCTTTTTGTTTATATATAAGAAAGCCCATAACCCAAAAAGTAAAAAGGATCCCTAACACTGATCTAGTAACCCTCGCAAAAGGAGCTTGCCAGAAACCCCAAGTAAGGCCGCGAGGCATCGTAAAGACGGCCGACGTGGATCGCGCAAACCTCATCTCTAGCCGCTCTTCGCTGTGACGTTCCTCACCCTAAACCCTAAACCCTAAACCCTAAACCCTAAACCCTGAACCCTGAACCCTGAACCCTTAACCCTGAACCCCCAAACTCCACGAGGCCCAAACTACCCCACACAAAGAAACGAATCGAACACAAAGCGCCCGAAGCCCCGAACCACCCCATTGAATGCTGAACCATGAACCCTAAACACTTAACCCTAAACCCTAAACCCTAAACCTTTTGGAGTCAGAAGACTGCCAAGGCATTTGACTCAGCCGGTGTGCCTGTGGGTTAGGACCCATCACCAAATTGACAGTGACCACCAAGGGATTAGGGTTAAGGGTTTAGGGTCCTATATTTGAGGGTTAGGGTCATATTGGGGTTCAGGGTTTAGGGTCATATTGGAGTTTAGGGTTTAGGCCCTTATTCCCTTACTGGCTGGAACCCTGTCTGGGTGTGGGCCGAACCCACAAGTTGTGCCATTGAGCGCCTCGCTCGATAGAGGCCTGTCTCGATCGAAGTCATGCCTTTCAAAAGCCGCTGACACAGCTGCTGACGCCGGCCAACATGCACACCCTGCTTCAGGACCTTACCAACTCCAAGCAGTCTTCATTCCAGAAGCCCTTCATAGCCTCGAACCGGATATCCGATAAACCTTTAGCTTGGGATGCTCCCCCTTATACTAACAGTCCTTAATGGGGATTCCAATAGAGGGTAGTACAACCCTTAGCAAGGACGGTTAGTATAAGGGGAACATCCCCCAACCTATAACCTATAACCCTACCTTCTAAGCCCTAAACCCTAAACCCTAAACCCTAAAGCCCTAGGGTCGCAGCCTTGGGTACTGGGTGTAGGAAGTCGGCTTACGGGTTCGGGGTTTGGGCTTTCGGAAAACTGGGTGTACCCTAAACCCTAAACCCTAAACCCTGAACCCTGAACCCTAAACCCTAAACCCTAAACCCTAACCCCTAAACCCTAAACCCTAAACCCTAAACCCTAAACCCTAAACCCTAAACCCTAAACCCTAAACCCTAAACCCTAAACCCTAAACCCTAAACCCTAAACCCTAAACCCTAAACCCCAACCCCAAACCCGATAAGATTTGTGGCGTTCAGGGGCTTTGGGTTTAGGGTTAGGGTAGTTGCATGGTCCCTTAATGTGGGCGTTTAACTAGGGACCCCTTATATACCCCTTGTATGCGCCATACAACCCTAGCGCCCATACTTCAGAACCCTTTAGACATGTTCAAAGGTGTTTGTTGATGGTGGCGAAAGACTGTCCCAAAGCAGTAGAAGTAGCGACTCTATAATTGAGCTAGATGAAAACCTAGAAACTTTCCCAAATACCGTTATGTATGCAACGGATGATGTAATACCTCACAGTTATTATACTACCCCTGAAGGACTTTATCAATACTTTTATCCAATATGGTATAAAACTAGCACTGGTGAAATTGAAGGGTTTTGTAAGATTGACGCTAAACATCAAGTCTTCTTCGCTTCTCAATTAATCTCGAATATTATAACGCAACTTAACGCTTTGAATGTTGGTATTCAAGCGGACTTATTTACTTGAATCTTTTGACAGCGACCAAAGAAGTACAACAATCACAATAACGCTTAATACCTTCAGCTTCAAAATTCCTACTGATGAAGAACTACAAGGGGTGCAATGGCACAATAGAATGTTAGGCGACCCGTCTTATATACTTGATGACCCAATGAGTATTAACAAACGAAGAGGCAGCTATGAAATTGAAGCAATGACCAAAACATCATGGACTTCGGAACTTTTTAACTTAAGTCCTTTTAACCGGATTATATGATTGTAGCGAGCTAAGCGACTACCAGGTCCCTAAATCGTAAGTGCTAAGCCCAACACCCAAAACCCGAAAGGTTAGGGGGGCAGGAAGCACTGCGCCTTCGTATGTGACCTGGTCCTGGTTCGCGGAAACAACCTGCACAAAGGATGTGATACACAATGCTCAGACTTAAAGGGGACCATGACTCACGAAGGATAGGGTTTAGGGTTTAGGCTTGGTTCCGAGTAAGACGTACACGTAGCGGGGAACTGGAACTGGCTTAGGTTGCAGATCAACCATGCAAGGCATCAAAAGCAAAAGATAAGGAAAAACCCTAAACCCACTAAACCCTGAACCCAAACCCTACACCCACTAAACCCTAAACCCTAAACCCTAGACCCTATTGGGGGATCTTGGGCTGATGTGCAAGAGGCCTGGCTGATGGGCTCCGAGAAGGGGTTCAGGATCCGCGGACCTGTGAGCAGGGCCGGTGCAGGGGTTTTAAGGTTTAGGGTTTAGGGCTTAGGGCTTAGGGTCTAGGGTTTAGGGTTTCGGGCCAGTTTCGGGCGCAGCTTTCCTGGAGCAACCTCTCAAATCCCCTCCCCCCGCCACCCCGCCGAAAAATGAAAAGGCGAAACGTCGTTCATGATCACGACAAATTGAGACCCGAATAGACCCGATGCCCTACCGGTTTATGGTTTAGGGTTTGGGTTAATTAAGGGTGCCCTGAACCAGAAACCTCCTGGTTGCACTTCCACCTTTGTCTTGCTCAAGTGTGGCTTCACGTTGGTTGCGGTTCGGGTTTAGGGGTGAGGGTTTCGCGTTAGTCTGGGGAATAGGGTTAAGCCTGCGAGTCATGCTTTGTGATGAATCTAGACAGCCCAATCTTCAACTATGATGAAACACTCAGTGTGCAGGGGCTGGTAAACACGAAACCTTAAACCATCCTGATCCGACCTCTATTGCAGTCAAAGCAATTTGTTCATCGTGCCATGGAGCTGTTTAATTTCGCGCCACTCGCAGGTACATCGCGGGCCACATACTTTGCAGTTCATGCCAGAAATTTTGCACCTGCCAGACCGTGGATAGTGCTTACAGTCCCTGCGTGCGCCATGGCTGACGCCCAAACGAACATGAACTCCTGCTAAACCCTAAACCCTTAAACCCTAAACCTTAAACCCTAAACCCTAATCCCTAAACCCTAAACCCTAAAACCCCGCCAGCCGGACGACAGAACCCCACAAGTGCTTCTCGTCATAAAGATGGCGAGGGGCCAGGAAAACCAACACCGGAAGCTTCTGACCCGAAACCCTAAACCCGAAACCCTAAACTCTGAAGCCTAAACTCACAACTGAACCTGCCAGCATCTGACCCTAAATCCTAAACCCGAAACCCTAAACTCTCGGCACTCGGCCTATCAGATCGAAAGTGCAGAGCTGTGCATATGGTAGGAAGTGGACCGAGTCCTGGATCTTTCTCTAGGAGTTTAGGGTTTAGGGTTTACTAGGGTTAATGTAGGGACCCGGATTAGCGGGGGTTGCAAGGTTTGGGACGCGAGCTTGTTTTTCTAGCTCAGGCTTAGGGTTTGGGGCTCTGGTTTTACGAGGTATACATGACAGCAACCCCCGAAGTGCTCGTAGAGCTCTACAAGCAGCACGACAGGCGAAATCAAGAATGATTCCAAAACGGCATACTGGCACAACTGCCCAGTTTTGCTTGTTGACCAAAATGCCAAATCTTGCGTGGGGCCCGTTCTAACTTTTTTCCGGGGGGGTACATCGGCTACTCCGGGTCGGTTGAAGCAAGTGAGCCGCAAACGGTATAGCCAAACAGCTTCTCACCTTAAGCTCGGAAGATACAGCGGGCAGTACGCCAACTCCCGCCCTGGTTGGGTCGCCATCGGGCCACCACAATCATGCCACCCTCTCAACTCCTAAGCCCTAAGCCCCTAGACCCTAAATCCTTGAACCCTAACTCCTAAACCCTAAACTACCCCTAACTCCTAAACCCAAAACCGCTGAACCCTTGATCCCCAAACCCTAACTCCTAGATCCTAAACTAACCCTGGTAGCCCAGTAACCATATTATAATACGGGCACCCTTTCTGGCTGGTTACTTTTTGAAGGGAACCTTGCACCAAAAAACGGGAAAAGGGTACCACTGGGCTACCAAGTAACCCTAAGACTCCTAAACCCTAAACCCTAAACCTGAATTTAACCCTAAACCCTAACTCCTAAACAGGCGGTCCTCCTGTTGCAGGTTGAAGCCCAAGATCGACATTGGAAAGACCTCGTCCACCCTGGCATCACATCCGCACCTGCCAGACCGGAATCTTGCGGTGTAGGGTTTAGGGTTTAGGGTTTAGGGTTTAGGGTTTAGGGTTTAGGGTTTAGGGTTTAGGGTTTAGGGGTTTGAGTTTAGGGTTTAGGGTTTAGGGTTTAGGGTTTAGGGTGTAGGGTTTAGGGTTTAGGGTTTCGGAATCTTGCTCCCCCCCCTGTTGTTACCTCTCTCCGGTATGTTTCTTATAGTTTACTTTGGGTAGCCAAGTCCTTTAGGAACTCTTTTTGGATCTGTGTATGTGTACGTGCTTACCTAGTTTATCTGGTATTCCAAAACGACATCCCCTATATCTATATGTATATACATATGTATATGTAGATAGAATTACGCGCAGCAACGCTTTAATTTCAAGGAACCATATTACCCAACAACAGCTACATAAACCCTACCTCATACGTACATGTCTACGCATCTACTCCAGCACAAAACGCCACAAAAAGCCCGAGTCGGTGGCCTCAGGAGCTCCTGTGGATTGCAGGGATCCGTCAGCGGCGGGTTGCAGTCCAATGCCGTCGCGCAGATCTCGGCAGGGTTTAGAGCTGAGGGCTTTAGGGTTTAGGGTTGAGGGCTTGGGGGTAGGGTTGAGGGTTGAGGGTTATGCGTTTCAGGGTTTAGGGCTTAGGGTTTGGGGCTTAGGTCTTGATTTCGGGTTGAGGTTTTAGGGCAGAGGTTGCTATGGCCGCAGGCACCTTCCTAAACCCTAAAGCCCAAACCCGAAACCCTACAACCCTAAACCCCCAACCCCAACAAAACCCTAAGTCCGAAACCCCAATCTTCTCCCAGTGTTCCGAAGCCCTGCTGAGTCAATGGCTGGCGACGGGCTTCGCGTGCCAACCTCGTACTGGTACATGCAGAACATGTGTCCTGACAGAGCGGGCTTTGGGGTTTAGGGTTTCGGTTCGCCTGCTTTGGGTGCAGGGAAGGGTTACGCAAAACTAAGTTGTCACAGCACGGGGTCTAGGGGTGCTGGGCTTCGGGCTATCATAACTCAGGAACCACATTGCTAGCTACATGTCCATATGATGATAGCTTCAATCTCCTCAACTCGGTAGAGTGTTGCATGCACTTCCGGGAGGGTGCAGGGAAGGGGATTCAACCAGCTTCTCAACCCTAAACCCTAAAACCCTAAACCCTAAACCCTGCAGAGTGCTGTAGAGCGTTGCTTTAAAGGTTCTTGTTCTCTCTGCCCACAGAGCCCAACAAGGAATATACCCTAAACTGATCAAAGGGTCCTCCATGCAATATACTGCTAATTGACGGGTGTAGTACTCTCTGGGCGAGGGCCGACCTACATCCTCCTCACCCATGGCTTTGGGTCTCAGGGGCCGAAATGGTCACAATGAGTCGGAACTTGATATGAGCACACATGGTACATGCGACGGTCGCCGCATAGTGGTAGCCTAGTGGGCCGAACGTTGAACTCCTCTAAGATTGAAAAGCGTCCTGCAAATGGCCCGTTGCCCACCATCGGCGACGTCTTGATGGGCTCTTCCCTGCAGAGCTTGGGGATGACATGGCACACCACTCACGCCTCCGCAGGTCTCGCACACCAGTAAGCCCCCGGCTGGATGTTGTTCACAGACTGTATGGTGATCGATGTATCCTTGCACAGAAGATGACCCCAAAACCCTCACCCCAAACCCAAAACTCCTCAAACAACTATTCACACACCCCCCCCCCCCCTCCCCCCCGCCCCGGTTCATCTTGGCGAAAAAACATGGCACGCTGCCACCGAAATCTCAGCTCCAAGCATTCGCATTGAGAGCTGCCGGCAGGATGAATCCCTGGCAAGGCCGCTTGCAGCCATGGAGCAGTCGACCCTGAATTCTAGCTCCCTGTCTGGGGTGCACCTTTACAATGTCGTAGTACTAGTAGTGCTATTCTTGGAAATTGTAATGCTACTAGTACCAGTACTGAACAGTAAGAAGTAGCAGTAGCTAGCAGTAGCAGTAGTCGTAGCCGTCGTCGTCGTAGCAGTGATTCACGTCGGCACCCAAACACGGAAAGAAATCACACCAAAGGCCGAGGTCTGAACTCCCTAAACCCCCTATCCCATTATCCCAAATCCTAAACCCTGAACCCTGACCCCTGAGCCCGCCTGACTCTCCTCGATGCGGAGGTCCATCATTGTGAAAGCGGGGATCACCTGCCCCAAGAGCCCAGAACCCCTTAGGGTCTAGGGTTTAGGGTTTAGCGTATTTCCAGAGCTATTTTTGCCGCCCAAATATCCGCACTCTTGGGGGTAGCAGGCTCAACTGGTACGCTGTTTCATGACGAGTATACGCAACGAAATGTCCTCGATGCCTGGGAGAGACAAGACGGGAAGAAAGAGTGTGCACTCGAGGCAGTATCAAGAGCTACCGCTTGCCTGAGCGTAATGCCCCTTAGTTCAGGAATATGCCCAAACATTGTACAACGGATCTCTTGCCTACAGAGTATCCGGTACATCTCCCAATAAAGGGGAATTGGCCCTAAACCCTAACCCTAAACTAGACCCAGGAGTAACCTAGGAACAACAAGGGTGACCAAAAAAAGGCCTACTCTGTGTCCTAGAAAAACTGAGCTTTCTGGGGGCCTTATGGTCCCTTTCGAGTTCGACAAAAATGCCCCCAACACCCTATGCAAATTCTTTCAGCCCCTGTACTAGAGCTTTAGGGGTTGAAGGCAGCATCGGCATGAAAGGGCTTCAGAGACTTAAGGTTTGTTGGAGATGCAAACGTCGATCCTGCCTCTCTGAGTGGCACTGTCAACCTCAGGGGACAAGGTTAACCCCAGACTCCTAGACCCTACATTGGGGTTCAGGGTTTGGTGTAGGTTTTGGGGTTTAGGTTTGGGGTTTAGGGTTTAGGGTTTAGGGAAGCACTAGAATCCGAAACTTGAAGTAAGTCCTACAACCTCAAAAAGAAAACCCCTCCTAGACCCTCGCACCCTGCACCCTATAGGGGTTTAGGGCTTTAGGGGTTTAGGGGTTTACGGGTTTAGGGGTTTAGGGGTCTAGGGTTTAGGGCTTGGGAGGGTTTAGGAGGGTTTAGGGTTCAGGCCTTGAAACTATATCTGTTTTGGGGGAAACCTGTAGCAAGTCCAGACATAAATCGATGGGTCTAGTCCGGCGATAAAGGGATTCAGGCCCGTGGAACTTCCAAATCACAAGCAGGAGTCCTAAACGCACTGGGCTGAGATGCTTGCCTCAGCCTGGCGGTCGTCTCATTCCAGTAGCCCATGGAGTTCTCAATGCGGAACCGGTCCTGCAGGAACGTCTCGGGGCTTAGGGGGCAAGACCCTTACCACATCTCCGCAAGGTCTAGCCCTAAACCTTAAACCCTAAACCTCAGATGCTCTTGTAGGGACTACTTGGGCCTCCCACGTGGGCCCGTTGGGATCTCTCCAGGGCGGGCTACTAGGCCTCTAACGAATGGCTTCTGTTTGAGGGAAGTGCAGGGTGTAACACGGCCTAACCCAGAACCCTAAACCTGACACCCAAAACCCTAAACCCTAAATCCTCAACCCTAAGCCCGAACCCTAAACCCTCTAAACCCCCTAAACCCCCCAAACCCCCGCCTCTAAACCTTCTAAACCCTCTAAACCCTCTGAACTCTCTAAACCCTCTGAAATCCTCCGAACTCTCTAAACCCTCTAAACCCTCTAAACCCTACACTTCCTTCGACCCCCCCAAAACCCCAAACCCCAAGCCCCAAACCCCAAACCCTAAACCAAAGGGTCGGCCTCGCCCATGATGTGGATGTTCACTTTGGCGAGGGAGTTTCGGAAACCTGGCCTCGGCTTCGCCAGGGGGGGTTTAGGGGGTTTTAGGGGGTTCAGGGGTTCAGGGGGTTCAGGGGGTTCAGGGGGTTCGGGGGTTTAGGGGGTTTCAAGGGGTTTCGGGTGGAGGGTGTTTTAGGTTCAGGGTTCGGGGTGCAGGGCTCGAAGTTCAGAAGTTTGATCAGGGTTCCGGGTTTAAGGGGCGTCTTTTCTGGGGCAGAGCTGCTCCCTCCTACCTTTTGTTGCACACGCTGCTGTTGCGACCGAGGCCTTTGGGTCGCAGTGCGCAGCTCACTCAGAAGTCCGGGCAGCCAGGAATCTATCGCATGGCATCCAGCTGCTTCCCAAAAGCTATACATCCCCTATGGTCACACCTCAAGGCCACGCGTGCCTCGATCTGCATGGCATAAGGGATACTGCGGTGGCTCTGCAGCCTCCAAGGGGCCGAGGCGCTGCTGCGCGTCCACGTCTGAGTGGCCAGGAGAGTTGGGCCCAAAACAGGGAACTCGATGCAGGTGGTGATGGATTTCGTTGTTGAAAGGCTCACGCAGTCGGCGCTCGCGGTTTTCAGCTCTGGCCGGTTCTCTGGCGCCAGCACCACCGTCCATGGGCTCAGGTTGGTGCTACCAGTCTCCCCATCGACTTGAATCGCGGCAGTGAGCTCCGCATCATCCAGATGGTCCTCGGTGCAGGCAAAAAACCCGCACCCGCGCCCCCCACCCCCCCCCTCCACCCCGATGAAACGCCAAGCCCCAGCCTAAACCCCTAAACAATAAAGCCTGAACCCTCGATTCCTAAATGCATTGCACTGGCTGAGGTGCTCCAAAAAGCGCTTCCATGGCCTCGGCGTCCCCTTCACACAGCGCCCGATAGAACTCCTCCCATGCGCTTTTGCAGAGGGGGTGTAGGGGCTTAGGGTTGAGGAGCCTACCCAGACGACGGTGACCCAAGTACAGAAAGTGTAACCCCCTCACCCGAATCTTCAACCCATCACCCTACCCCCCCATATTAAATACTCCCCATACACTATCATAGAACTATAACGGTAGTATTTAGAGGGAGGGGATTCCGTACCCTCTGTTTTAACTCTCCTGGTTCCCCTAGACCCCAGGTACCTTCGTACGTCTACCAGTGACCTCTAATTACCATTGCCGGACTTAAGGATCCCCGGCCACTTTTCTGTTCCCTAAACCCTGAACCCTGAAACCTGAACCCCCCTAAACCCTAAACCCTAACCCCTAACCCTAAACCCTAAACCCTAAACCCTAAACCCTAAACCCTAAACCCTAACCGTAAATCCCCTGACCCTAAATCCCTAAACCCTGCACCATCTTGAGGTCCTCTTGGGCCTCGAGGGCCCCCGCGGCGTCGGCCAGAGCATATTTCTGCTCCAGCGAGCTGAGACGCTTGATTGGAGGCATGGCGGCCAGCACCTTCCAAACCCTAAGCCCTAAGCCCTAAGCCCTAAGCCCTAAACCCTAAACCCTAAACCCTAAAACCTAAAACCTAAAACCTAAACCCTCAACCCCAAGCCCCAAACCCTAATGTCCCTGTTGGGGCCCCTTGCTTTGAAATGATGACATCTATTGACGTCCCTCTAAGCGGCGCCTCGTCTTCTGCTTACTTACTTCCTAACGTAGAGGTCCATATCTCCCATTTTGAAACCTTATACCCTAAACCCTACACCCAAAGCCCTAAACCCTGAACCCTAAACCCTTGCACATACAGCAGTCCCCACCTCGTCCCAAATTGGGCATCCGAAATCGCTCCCAAAGACCCGGCCGCGGAAGTTGAGCCCCACCCACCTGGGGCAGCTTAGGGTGAGGGTGTAGGGTTTAGGGTTTAGGGTTTAGGGTTTAGGGTTTAGGGTTTAGGGCTTAGGGTTGAAGGTTCAGGGAATACTTGACTGAAGCAAAAAGATATTCTCATAGGTCACATAGTCTATGCAACTTCTTCACAACCCAGCCACAGGCAGTCCCCTGAGGTGTTCTTGCCTTCTGACAGGGCCTCGAAGTAGCTCCTCACAGTGATGGGTTCAGCGTTTACAGGGTCTACAGGGCCCTCCTAGTTGCTGGCTACCCCGGGTCAAAAAAGGTCAACCCTTTTCAATGGTGGTAGGCTTCTATGTCAATGTACCCCAGAAAGGTTAAAGGTTACCTACTCAGCTACTAAGCTGTAGGGCTAGAGAGCGTTAGGGTATGTGGCAATGGGGTCTCGGTCTTTTTTGGCTGACAGGGCTTATCGTGTTCAGGCCCAGGAACCCTCGACCCCGAACAAAGGCCCTGTTGGGAGCCCCTCTCTTCAAACGAACAGGGCCCGAAGACTCCCCGAAGCCCCAAAGCCCAAATTTCCTGCTCTTAGAGCCCTAGAGACCGGATAAACCAGATAAACACCAAACACCAACAAGCCCGTAGACCCCACAAGCCCTATAGGCCTTACAAAACCTATAACAACCCTATACAAAACCCTAGAATCCTTCTTGGGTTGGTTACTTTTCTCAAGCAACCCAGAACCAATAAAAAGGGAAAAGGTTCTGCCAGATTACTAAATTACAGCAAACCCTACACCCTAAACCCTAAACCCTAAACCCTAAACCCTAAACCCTCTACGCGCCCGTTGCTCAGATCAGCCCCTCGGCGTCAGCGATCGCCCCGCCTCCAGCGCCGCAGCTGCTTTGCCTTTGCCAGCCAAGGAGCCGCCTGGCACCCAGAAAGCAGCAGTTTGGGGTTTAGGGTTTAGTGTTCAGGGTTTAGGGTTTAGGGTGGCACGCCGGTGACTCCACCTGCCGCAGCAGCGTCTCCGAGCCGAAGGCTGCGAAGGCCACCTCTGCAAAGCGGAAGAACTAGGGAGGTTCAGGGTTTAGGGTTTAGGGTTTAGGGTTTAGGGTTTAGAGTTCTAGGGTTTTAGGGTTTTAGGGTTTTAGGGTTTTAGGGTTTTAGGGTTTTAGGGTTTTAGGGTTTTAGGGTTTTAGGGTTTTAGGGCTTAGGGTCTGGGGCTTCGGGTTGACAGTATGAGCCGGCTCAAGTCTTAATTCAGCCCCCTCCCAATCCCTCCGAAAGAAAAGGAATGAATCCCCCCCACACCACCACAAAAAACTAGGACGATGACATTCAAATAGAAATTGCATCGTTCTTCTGGGTTTGACCTTTTCCCAATTGCAATTGTGAATTTTCACAAATCGTGTGAACTTTTTCTGAAATTCCAATTGTAGACTCGTTTTGGTCAATTTTTCATTGCCTAATGTTAAGGTTTGGATTCGGGCTTTCGACTCCACTTCCAATTCGACCCATTCCGATTGCAAAGCTCCTAAACCCGCCCAAACCCCCAACCCCCGAAACCCAACTTGCCGGGGGGGGTTGGGGGGGGGGGGGGGGGTTTAGGGTTTAGGGTTTCGGGTTTAGGGTTTTAGGGTTTAGGGCTTAGGGCTTAGGGTGAGGAGGAGGAGGAGGAGTCGGGGACTGAATGATGGGCGTGGGGGAGGGGAGGCTTTGCCGGCTCGGCCCATTCACCGCTGCTCTTATTGGCCGCTGTTCGGGTTCCAAAGATTGTACAGAGGCGTGGAACTAATTTAAAACGGAGAACCCTAAACCCTAAACCCCAAACCCTAAACCACAACATAGAGAACTCCCCATGCTCTGCTTCTACTTTGAGTCCCGGCCTTGTCCGAGTCCTCCAAGGTCTCGGATACGGCCAAGATCAGAACGCGGCTCTGCTCGAAACGCCTAGGGTTTAGGGTTTTGACAAGGGTTTAGGGTTTAGGGTTGAGCGTATCTTAACCAAGAATGATAATGGAATACTAACAGCATAGAGGGAACTGCACTGCTTAGTTCTATTGGGGAGGGATTAGTCAGACCGCCCGATAGAATAAGTAAACCCTAAACCCCAAACCCTAAGCCCTAAGCCCTAAGCCCTAGGCCCTAAGCCCTAAGCCCGAAGCCCTAAACCCCAAACCCTAAACCCCAAACCCCAAACCCTAAACCCCAAACCCGACCTCCTGTACGGCAGCGCCGCCCGCAGCGCTTCCGCGAGCTGCTCGAAGCCGCCGAAGAGGGCCACGAGCCGATACTGATCCCGCAGAGCCTCTGGCGGAAGCTTTAGGGTTGATAGGGTTTAGGGTTTAGGGTTTAGGGCCGTTTCGGGTTTAGGGTTTGGGGGGTGGTCGCGTTGGTAGCGCGCGTCGTGGGCCCGATAAATTGGCTTTCAGGTCCACTCCCATGCCGCGTCAACAAACAACGCAAACTATACATCGTAACGGGACGAAACCCTAAACCCTAAACCCCTAAACCCCTAAAGCCCTAAAGCCCTAAAGCCCTAAAGCCCTAAACCCCTAAACCCCTAAACCCCGAAACCCCTACCCCTAATCCCCTAAACGACACCTGAAAGGGGACTCCGTCGACTTTGGGCCTGCAGCTCCTTCCTCTGCGACCGGCCGGAGACGGCGTCCGACAGTTCCACGGACAAGTCGCCAATTGAGTACCTCAGAGCTTTAGGGCCTTATTAAGCCCGGAAGCCCCTAAACACCCAAACCCCCAAACCCCCAAACCCTTAAACCCGAAACCCTAAACCCTAAACCCGAAACCCTAAACCCTAAACCCCAAACCCCAAACCCTAAAAAGAAGCAGGAAGGGAGGTGCTCGTGCTCCCTGAGATGCTCGCGCTCCAGGCGCACCAGCTGGGCGGTGCGCTTGCCGCGCTCGCGGAGGAAGAGGAACCCCGACACCAGCGTCACCTTCGTTGTTTGGTTTGAGGTTTATTTGGGGTTTATGTAGGTTTTCTAGGGTTTACAGGGTTTATAGGCTTTATAGGGTTTAAGCTGCTCATAAAAGGTGTCAAGTGTACTCATTCAGCTACTAAGTCGCCGCCGCAGCTGCCACGAAGAAGGGCGGGCCGGCGTTGGACGGGAAGAAGGTTGGGGAAAACAAGCCGCAGATGGTCAGGAACAGGAAGATCAGAATGCGCAAGGGCTCCGACTGGTTCGTGTTTGAATATTGCAGCAAAGCTTCACGACGAAACTCCTGCAAAGAGAGCGGGTCGAACTCGGGCCGTCGCAGGAACTTTTGCTTGCTAAACTTCTGATCGCTGTCTGCAGTCGCCTGCAGTCTAGTAACAGCTAGCCTGGCCGGCTGGGAAGATCTGCTCGATCTCCCGCAATGCGTGCCCAGATATGCTCCAAGGACGAAGCTTCGCACCATGGTCATTCCGCAAACGGTCAGAATCGCCAGCTTCATCCTTCGAGACCACCGGCGCCCACTCACTGGTAGCATGGCAACGGAGAGGTCCATCGAGAAGGACCCCGATCAACCCTCTGCAACTAGGCTCGCCCTTGCCCTCGAATATCAGCACTTGCTTGTCTTGCTAGATCCCTGGACCGCAGACCAACACTTCAAATATCTGGGACCAGGCCCTAGTACTCCCTTCCCCCGAAAACTAAACCCCCCCTACCCCCCCAGTGAAAACATCCTCCCAGTATAGTGAGATTTTAGTATATGGGCGTATTTAATACTAGAGGGTAAGGGGGGGTTTTATATATGGGGGAGGGAAGTATGTGAGCCTCTCACCAGGCCTGGTGTGCCGAGCGAAATGCAAGCACTGCAGATGCAAGGCGCCACCACCTCCACCCGTTTCTCTTCGTGTGGCCGCTCTCTGCATGACCGTCGTTGAGGCCCTTGCACTTACAAACATGGCAGAGCCCCAAACCCTATAAACCGCATAAACCCTATAAACCCTATAAACCGTATAAACCCTATAAACCCTGTAAACCCTGTAAACCCTATAAACCCTAAACCAGTGGTGGGCAACTAGCGGCCTGGCACACGATTTGCAGCCTTCTCAGATCCGAGCAAGAAGATGATGATGTCGTTAGCCTGCCATGACTGACAGATATTTTTGGGGTTTTCCGAAATTTGTGGCATAGGGCGTTTAGGGTTTAGGGTTTAAGGTTTAAGGGTTTCCGAAATTAAGGGGTATCTTCTTGGGGTCCTTACTGTAAGGGGATCCTACTCTCATGGGGGTCTATATTGGGGTCCCCTATTGCCTTGCCGGAGAGCCCGGCAAGAGGCACATCTACCGTAACTGCTGCGCGAAGCACGAAGATTTGCGGGTGCACTGCAAGTACTATAAGGCAGCGAGTGAGGACCCTGAATACGAGGGTCCGTCGTGTAAGCACCCAAAACAGGGGCTCACTTAGGAGAACTGCTTTGTTCTGATGGGTCCTGCTCAGAAAGGTTCTTGCGCTATGCGCGGGTGAGCGTGCCAGCATGACCTTGCTGTTACATCTCGTAGCAGTACCGGTAGGATGCAAATCCCAGAATTTGCCTCCTAAACCCTTAAACCCTAAACCCTAAACTTACGTACCCTAAACCCTAAACCCTAAACTTTAAAAGCCTCTGTGATGTTCACCGTGGGCTGCAGAATCATCTTCAGCTGGAAGATGCTATCCTGTTGTGGCGGCCTTGGTGGTTGGCTTGACTTCAGGAAACTTCCAGGATCTGCGACCATTTTCTCCTCACCCCTAAACCCTAAACCCCAAATCCTAAACCCCAAACCCCAAACCCCAAACCCTAAACCCTAAACCCTAAACCCCAGGTCGCTCTTGGAGCTGCACGCGTAGATGAACTCCGACACCAGGAACGATCCTCAGAGCGGCAAGTCCAGACGAGTTGAAGAGCTTCCAGAGGGCTGAGGGTTTGGCATTTAGGGGGTTGGGATTTAGGGTTTAGGGTTGGGGGTTTAGGGTTTAGGGTTTGGGGTTTGGGGTTTGGGGTTTGGGGTTTGGGGTTTAGGGCTTCGGGTTTCAAGAGGGCAAGCAAGCTCGTGCACTTGCACGAAAGATTGGGAGGCGCGGTCCTGCCTACGGTGCGGACTAAACCTTGCACCTGCGCCCCTATACCTTAAATCCTATCCCCCAACCCTAAACCCTAAACCCTAAACCCTAAACCCTAAACCCTAAACCCTAAACCCTAAACCCTAAACCCTAAACCCTAAACCCTAAACCCTAAACCCTAAACCCTAAACCCTAAACCCAAACCCTACACCCTGCACCCTAAACCCTCAACCCTAAGCCCAAAAAACTGTAGCCGCGTCACGGTCGACCACCCGAGGTGATGTTTTGATTTGCTCCTGAAGCCGCAGGCCACGGGGCGAGCTCTCTACTCCTTGGACCCTTGTGGATGTAGGGTTTTAGGGTTTAGGGTTTAGGGTTTAGGGTTCTTGAATCCTGAGCCCCGTTTTCACAAGCGCCACCTAGATTTTAGGCACCCCAGCAGCAACCGTAAGTTAATGAACTGCCCAGGGGACATGAAGTGAGGAGGCTTCGTGGTTGCGGTTTAGGGTAGGGCTTAGGGTTCCTCAAAGCTTCGAACCGGCTGGACACGACTGGAAAAAAAAGCCTAAACCCCAAACCTGAAATCCTATCATATAGGGGCCTTAATAACTAGAATAGGCTTTTGGGGGTTATACTAGAGTATAAGTATATACAAAGGACCATAAGGGAATACTACTTCCTCAACCCTAATTTGTAAACCCTAACTTTGTTCAGCGCCAAGGTTTTGCAGAGGCACCTCGTAGATCACCACGTTCCTTGGAGGTTTGCTCAGAGGCTTCGAACCGGGTTTAGGGTTTAGGGTTTAGGGTTTCTAACCAAGCTGGATTCCTCGCCTAAGCCCTAAACGCTGAACCCCACAGCCTACGCCTCAACCTCTGATCCTAACCCCAAGCCGCCCAAATCCTGCAAAAGCCTCTACCTCCTAAACCCTAAGCCCCAAAAACCCTGAACAGTTCAACTGTTAACCCCAAACTCCCTAAACCCGATACTCCCTAAACCCTAAACCCTAAACCCTACATCCTAGACCCTAAACCCTAAACCCTTTGAGGCAGTGGCCCGATGGCTTGGATGGTCAGCGCCGGGTCGTTGGGGAGCAGGGGCGTGGTTGGCAGCCGGAAGCCACTGGACTCCATAATCCGCAGGACCTGGGTGGGGTTTAGGGTTTGGGTTTAGGGTTTAGGGTTGAGGGTTGAGGGTTTTAGGGTTTTAGGGTTTTGGGTTTGGGGAATTTAGGGTGTTGGGGTTGGGATGTTCCACCTTCTACTAACACTTCTGAATAGGGATTCTAATGGGGGTGGGGGTGCTATAATCTCTATTAAGGACAGCTAGTATAAGAGGGAACCTCCCAATGTTGGGGGGTTTGCAGGGTTAAGAGTTTGGGGCTTTAGGGGGTTTACAGGTAGCTGGAGCCTTTGGGGACGCGACTGTTGGCTGCTGCCGGTAGATCTGCTGCCCGATGGGCACCTGCCACACTGCCCCAAGAACATGCCCCGTGCAAAAGCACACATTGTGGCATCACAAAGCACTAGGTCAGTGCATATCTCGTCACCTTCACCCAAGGTTCCTTGCTGAATTTTGAATGCAGAGCCTGATTTCACCGTCTACGGGTAACAGGCCACAATGCGCACCAGACACAACGAAATCTTCATCAACATCACCACGGCACTCACCCAAGCGGACAAAGAGCTCACCGAAACTAAGAAAGGAAGCACCAAAGCCGAAAGACTCACCAAGAGATGCTTTGGTGAGGCCCAAGTCAGTTTAGTCAGCCGAAACAGTTTGGTGACAGAAACGGATGGTGTCCATTTTCCTTGCCGCAGCACTAGCCACTCAAGGTACCAAGAGGTGATTTGAGCGAACGGGAAAGCTGAGAGGCAAAGCATCCCTGCTCTCAAAGGCCAACGACCATGAAAAGCAACAGTGTGCCAGGCCTGCCATTTTGGGATGCAACACATTTCGCACAGATTTGCGCCGGCTTCGCTTTTGCCGCAAACGAGCTGAAACTCTGTTTGCGTAGGTTTGCCATGTTTGTGCGTAGTGTCTCTGTTCGCCAGACTTTCTGTTCGCCACAACCGTCCGTACAAGACCATTCTTCCGGCAAGTACATCAATGAACATGCTACGTCGAGATGCACACACCCACACAGACGCTCCATCCACGGCTAACTTTCCTCTTCGGTGCTCGCGCGAATTGTGGTTTGCAGACAAAAATGTCAACGCATTCTCATATGGGCATTTCCCAGAATAGGGGTACCCCTTTTAGACCCCAAATAGAATGGAATCCCCTTAAAAGGACCCCCAAGAAGGGTACCCCCAGTTTCGGAAAACCCCATACTACCCCAAACCCTAAGCCCTACACCCTAAACCCTAAACCCTAAACCTTAAACCCCAACCCCCCAACCCCCACCTATATTCGGAAACCCCCACTTTTAACATCCTGTGAAGTGCGGCTGAGTGGCGACCAGGTCGAAGGTCTCGGCCATCTGGTCCCAGATGCCTGTGCGGATGAAGTCGCCTCGGCCAGGAGCCATGGCCCAAGGGTTTAGGGTTTAGGGTTCGGGGTTTGGGGTTTAGGGTTTAGGGTTTGGGGTTTAGGGTTTAGGGTTGGGGGTTTGGGCTTTAGGGTTCAGGGTTTACGGTTTGGGGTTTACGGTTCAGGGTTGGGGTTTAGGGTTTAGGATTCAGGGTTCAGGGTTTAGCCTTTAGGGCTAATCAGTGGTATCATCAGCATCAATAGCACCAACATAGCTACAGCAGCAATGCAAGTGCAGTAGAAAGAGGTAAAAGTAGCAGTCGCAGAATAAGGCCACGGCATGGTGTCCAGCTAGCTAGCTAAACCCTGAACTCTAAACTCTAAACCCTAAACCCTGAACCCCACACCCCTAAACCCCTAAGCCCTAAGCCCCTGAACCCCTAAACCCTAAACCCTAAACCCCCCAAACCCCTAAAACCCTAAAGGTGTCCGGATGGCCAGAAACTCTTGGATGGGCTCTGGGCAGCGGGCTCAGGTCGTATGCATTGGAGACGGGCACCTCCTGCGTTCCGATGGGGACCTCGACGCGACGCTTTCTTAGGGTTCAGGCGGTTCAGGGGCTATAGGGTTTAGGAGGCCCTAAACCCTAAACTTTGGGCCTAAACCCTAAACTTTGGCCCTAAACCCTAAACCCTAAACCCTAAACCCTAAACCCTAAACCCTAAACCCTAAACCCTAAACCCTAAACCCTAAACCCTAAACCCTAAACCCTAAACCCTAATTAAACCGGAGCGCAGCGCATCCTGGCAAGTTGCTCCCTTTCCTAGCCCCCAACAACGCAAGGGGAAGCAGAGATCCGAGAACCGACCGCATGGTCTCACCCGCTCGGGTCCCCGCGTCCGTGAAGGGGCAGGTGAAGCCAGGTAACCTCGACGCGGCTCACTTTCTCATGCGGCAGAGTGACGTCCCTATGAACTTGGGATGCCAGCTTGAGGCGGACGGTCGTCCCGGCCGGAAGGTTAACCTGCACAACAGCAAGGGGAGTCAAGCAGTATGTTTAGGGATTAGGGTTTAGGGTTTAGGGTTTTTGGACCCTCTGAGGTCAGCACGTTTGGCCGGAACCTGCCATGCCCATCACTTCCATGCAAAGCTCAGATGACCTTGCGCCGCACTGCGCCGGCCCGGCCAGAAGTTAAACTCCACCACGGTGTTCGGGTAGGCGACAGCTCCTGTAACCCTAAACCCTAAACCCTGAACCCTAAACCCTATAAACCCTAAACCCTAAACCCTGTACTGGGGGCTAACTCACTTGCTTGTGGCCGGCTAGCAAAATGGACCGAGGCCCGGGCCGCGGGATCCGTAGTAGATCTCCGACACGATCTCGGAGAGCAAAGGGGCGCGGGTAGACAGAGAGGCAGTAGTATCAATGCTGAACTTAGTAGCTATACTCCCCTTAGAACTCCAAAAACCAGTTTTGATGTTCTATCTAACTCTAAATATCTCCAGCGTAAATCTGCCAAATTTTTTAAGGGCACTACAGGTAGAGGATTATCTCTCCAAGCTGGCACGAGGCGGATTCCCTCTGAGCCGAGGGCGAAGAGCTTTCCTTCTTGGCTCACGCGAGTGGAGAACTGGAAGGGCCGCTCGGGAATGCCAGCCTGGCACCCTAAACCCCAGACCCTAAACATTTAAACCCCAAGCCCTAAACCCCACACCCTAAACCTCCCCCGAATTCGAGAGAGCGCCAGATGACACGCTCCGCCGGCCGGAACAGAGAAACCCTAAACCCGTGCCACGAGAGGAGACTTGTGCGGTTGGTCCTGTAAAAACCCTGGAAAAAAGTTCTACATACAATCCTGGGAGAAATGGTAACTTAACAAATTTCCCCAAGGGCCCAGCTCGTGAAGTCTAGGGTTTTTCGGTCTATGGTTTAGGGTTCCCCCCAGGCCTCTGGCACCGCCAGCCGGAAAGAGGGATCGCTTTGATACGCTGAGTATGGCCTTAGTGAAGGCTCCGCTGTCATGGGCACCGCAGTCGACGGCTAAACCCTAAACCCTAAACCCTAAACCCTAAACCCTAAACCCTGAACCCCAACAGCCTCCTGGAAGTGGGGCCCTGACAGCTTGAAGTCCTGATCGCGCTCGATGAAGAAGCGCACGCGCTCCTTTCGCTGAGCGTGCATGGCGACGCGAGAGCTCTCCACTTCCGCCCAAAATCCTAAACTGGGTTGGCCTTTAAACTCTCTGAAAAATATGTGTGTTTTGGGCCCCTCATAAATCCAAAGAAGGAAAATGAAGCATTTCCCAAAAACCCACCTTGTGAAGGCCTTAAGGTGTCTACCGTAACCCTTTTCTTGGTGGCTACCTTCTCGGAACTTTTGTAGGGAAGTTCGGTAGCCGAAAAGGGCAGGAGCTGCCAGCTCAATCCTATGCCCGCACATGGCTCGGAAGAATTTCTGGGCGCCGAACGCCCGCATAGATCTGCACTGTGGACACCATCTGCACCGTCAGCAGTACCTGGTCCTGGTCCCAATACCCGACCTCAGCCAAAGCTGCCGTACCCTAAACCCTTAACCCCAAACACACCTAATACCCTAATTCCCTACTCGTGAGAACCAGGAAGTGCACCCTGTCCGAGGTTGGCGGTGCTAACTGGTGTGATTAGAAGCAGCCTGGCCACACTTCTAACTGCGCAGAACCTTGTTTAGGCCCAAACCCTAACCCCTAGAACACCCAGACGCCGACCCGAAGCCTTAAAACCCCCAAGAGCCTGGCAGACCGCACCCCACACTGTTTCCTAGCTTCCCAGCAGCCTCCGAGTTGACGCCCCAAACCCTAAACCCCAATTAAACCCTAAACCCTAAACCCGAAACCCGAAACCCTAAACCCTAAACCCTAGACCCTAAACTAAACCCTAAACCCTATAACCATCGGCCACCTGAGCGCCCCACCTCGCCGCGAAAAAGCGGCCCGTTGGCCCCCGAGATCTTCACGGTGCCCGAGCGTGCAGCTCCCTGCACACCTCTCGAGTTTGGGACGCTGAGGGAGATTTTGGATGGGGCGCTGTAGGGCTTTAGGGGTTCAGCTTTCGGGGTTGGGGGTATAAGGGTTCAGGGGAGTTCGGAGGGGTGGAAGGGCTATGCCTTTTAAAAGGGACCCGAATTAAGATCCACATAGGTTTCATCTAGTGCCAGGCCCCGCCCTGTGCTCCAGAAGACCCCGCTGGGAACCCGGCCGATCAAGTTGGTTCTTCCAGGATCCCGTACCAGCCCGCCAAGCTTGATGTACATCGTCCTCAGTTGCAACAAGACGTCACGATTGCCTCTGGAGCGACCCCGATGCCCGAGCGCGGCGCGAGTTCGGAAGGACGTCCGTGTTCAAGACCAGGGAGAAGCTAATTCTCGTGAAGGCGTTGACTGACCTGGTGCCACATACCACACTCGCAGTCTTTGAGGAAACATGACAACGTCAAGCTGTTCCTACAAAGGCCCGGGCATGTCTTCCGGCTCGAACTCCACAATGGACTCGATCACGTACTTGTCGTCTCCCACTTTGGGAATCTTTTTGATGGGCCTGGAAGCACTAAACCCTAAACCCTATCATTCCCTAAAACCTTTGTCCGGCTCTCTTCAAAGTTAATCACTAAGCCCCGCGCTCGAGATCGATCAGCGCGCCCTTGCCTGAGCCACGTACCGCTCAGAGCTGAACACGACGCCAGATACAATGTTTTCATGTCATACCGGTCATACCCTAAACCCTAAACCCTAAACCCTAAACCCTAAACCCTAAACCCTAAACCCTAAACTACGCCGTGGTAAGTAACGGAGGCCATGGCCCTCGATGCGCAGGATGCCATCATTCTCACTGAGCCTCCGCAGCAGGCGCAAGGGGCCCATGCGGTTTAGGGTTTAGGGTTTAGGGTTTCGGGTTTCGGGTTTCGGGGATATGGAGGGGGAGCTTGGGGTTGAGGGTTTAGGTTTGGGGTTTTGGGGGTCTAGGGTTTAGGGCTTCAGGGTTTCCCCCAAACCTAACCAGGGAATATACCCAAGCGGAGACCCCGACGGGACCATGACTTCAAATCAGATTGCGGATCCCGGCATACGGTCTATCCCCTACCTGGTAGTTAAAAAAACCCTAAACCCTAAACCCTAAACCCTAAACCCTAAACCCTAAACCTAACCCTAAACCCTAAACCTCGCAGTCGCTTCTGGGGATGCTGCTTGTCTGGCAGGCGGAAGACGCTGTCTCTGCCGATGGACACTCGGAAGGGCTGGGCCTTCAAAGAAGCCCTAGACCCATCCATGTAGATTTGAATATTTATGTATATACACATATGTATATGTATATGCAGTATATATATATATACATAAAGACCCAAGCGTAGGCTAAGAATCAAAAGGGTATACACCCCATTTAGGGGCTTACTTTAAGGGAACTTAAAACCTACAAAAGGGGACACGGCTACTCTGGGTCCCAGATGCACTTATTTCTTTTTCACAACCTTCGAAACCCATAGTATTGAAATATATTGCACTCTCTCTCTATGTATATATACATATACGCATACAGGTGTATATACATATATGTATATATATATATATATTAATATATGTGTGTGTGTGAAAACAAGAAGATATTGAAGACATGTGAGTGTGTGTGCGTATGTATGTATAACCTCACTTGGAGCGAAAACCTCACTTTATAGTGCAAGTGCATACTCGTACAACAACAGCTCCAGGCTTCAGACGTTGCTAATGATCTCGTTCTCGGCCACCGTGAAAACCAACATGCTGTCCTCTCCGCATTCCACAACCGTCCGGTTTGCGGTTTATAGGCTTCCGGGTTCAAGGGAAAAATAGGGTTCAGAGTTCAAGGCATCGTCCCGAAACCCTAAACCCTAAACCCTAAACCCTAGCCCTAAACCCTAAACCTCACAGCAGTATGCGCGAATCGAAGGCAACGCGGCAACAGGGGCATCCAAGCTCCTCCTGGGTCCAAGAGGCCGCTTGGTTCTGAATTCGAAAAGCATCCGGACCTGACGTTTAACAGGGTTTGTGGCTTGTAGGGTTTTTTGGCTTTGTGGCTAAACCCTACACCCTACACCCTACACCCTACACCCTAAACCCTAAGCCCTAAACCCTAAACGCGCAACGGCTGAGGTAGCACTGAGCCAAGATCCCAGAAGTGGTATCGAGGTCAACGTACACCTGTGATCCGAGAGCTGCACTCACAGGCACTCCGATCCCTGCACCCTGTAGGGTTTAGGGTTTAGGGTTTAGGGTTTAGGGCTGCTTAGGGCTTAGGGTTTCTCAGCTCGGGACGCGAAGCCGTACATATGGATGACAATGCTGTCCTGAGAGACCGGAGCACAACAACTCGCGCCCACTCTGCCAACGCTTCTAACCCGAAACCCGAAACCCGAAACCCTAAACCCTAAACCCTAAACCCCCGAAACCCGAAACCCGAAACTCTAAACCCTATAACTGGTGTTGAACAATCAATTTGGGGAATCTACTTGGTCAGCTCTCTGGGTTCTGGTCCCTTTTTGGGTACCCTACATGATAAGGGCCGCCTTATCGTCGTAACCACAAAAGGACCATAGTTTAGAGAAGTGACCATATGCCTTTTTGATACACGGGGGGCCGCGGGGTAAGGTTCGGAGCAAGGTTGCTAGCCCCAAGAGTAACCTTTTTTAATCCCTTTTTTATCGGCGCGGGGCGAAAAGGGAGCCTAAACTCCCAAAAAAGGAATAAGGGCCTAACCCTAAACCCTAAACCCTAAACCCTAAACCCTAAACCCTAAACCCTAAACCCTAAACCTATGGGTCCTAGGATAGGGCGCTGGCCGTTTGGTAGAAGACAATGGTCGGCTCCAGGGTGAAGCTGACGTTTGCAGCTAGCCTGCGGCCAGAGCACTGAGCCCCTAAACCCCTAAACCCCTAAACCCCTAAACCCCTAAACCCCTAAACCCCTAAACCCCTAAACCCCTAAACCCCTAAACCCCTAAACCCCTAAACCCCTAAACCCCTAAACCCCTAAACCCCTAAACCCCTAAACCCCTAAACCCCGAAACCCCTAAACCCTACACAGGCCTAGGCTGCGCCGGGTCAAAGCCCAGCTGCGATCGCTTGAAGGTCTTATCCCCCATGCCGACCTTCGAGCATGGCTCAAGGGGGGGTTTGGAGTTTAGGGCTTCGGTTTAGGGTTTAGGGCTTAGGTTTCAAGCGGCTACAGCTTATGAGTCCTTTAGTAGCTAGGATGGCCTTTCGAGGGCCTTTGGGTTTAGAGTTCAGGGTTTAGGGTTTGGGCTTTTTGTAGCTACCCCCGGGGCGAAAGGCCACCTACTCAGATCTGCTCTTGGCTGCACTTAGCAGGGTAGCCATAAATTTGATTGTTAGCTGCCTTCTTAAGAAACCCAATAAACCCAAAAAGGCTAAGGATCTGAAGCTACAGCAAAGCACTACAGAGTGCTCAGCTCCTATGTCGGAGACAAGCCGAAGCTGCCCCACGCTGAGGCTCGAACCATTGGTGAGTCGTCCACCGGTTGCTGGGGAGCCCTGGCAGCAAAACCCGAAACCCTAAACCCTAAACCCCTTCTGCAGGCGAAGTGTCCCTGATTACGAAGGTGTCTCAAAAATTCCAGGGATCCTAGATACGGGCATTTCCCAAAATAGGGGTACCCTGGACCCTGCCCAATACCGTTTAGGGTTTAGGGTATAGGGTTTGCCCCCGCATTCTTTGGAAATCCCACTACGATAGAAGATCTTGGCAATTAGGGTTCGGGGGGCCGCTCTGTGCCCCCCCGGTTACCTGTCGCAGCCAAGGAGGGCCAGGGCGCCCTAAAACCCTAAAACCCTAAAACTCGAAAACCCTAAACCCCTAAAACCCGAAAACCCGAAAACCCTAAAACCCGAAAACCCTGAAACCCGCCCTAACACCCGAAACCCTGAACCCTAAACCCTGAAACCCCAAACGAACCCGTCACACCTGATACCCCAAGCAAACCCTCCAACCGTAAAACCCTCAACGTGAAACCCTAAACCATGCCGAACAGAAACAAACCCCTAAGCCTGAAATCCTAAGCAAGCCCTAAACCCTAAACCCTAAAACCCTATATAGACATGAAACCGCAACAACCCTCAACAAACCCTAAGGCTTGGGATGGTTCCCCCTTATACTAACACTCCTTGAATAGGGAGTATACTAGGGAGTACTGTAACCCCAAATTAAGGACTGCTAGTGTAAGGGGGGACATCCCAACCTGAAACCCTAAACCCTAAACCCTAAACCCTAAACCCTAAACCCTAAAAAATCACGGCACTCAATGCATCCCGAGGAGACGACCCGGGATCAGAATTCGACACCAGCAGCGAGGTGTCGTTTGCCTAGGGTTTAGGGTTTAGGGTTCAGGGTTCAGGGTTCAGGGTTCAGGGTTTAGGGTTTAGGGTTTAGGGTTTAGGGTTTAGGGTTTAGGGTTTAGGGTTTAGGGGCGAGTCTCGATCCTGTAAACCCAAAAAGGAGGTTTTGTTGGGGGCTTCGGGGTGTTTTAGGGTTTAGGGTTTATAGGGGCTAGGGTTTAGGGGTTTGGGTTTATGTTTTGTGGGGGTTAGGGGTTTAGGGGTTTAGGGTTTGGGGTCTTGGGGTCTTGGGGTTTTGGGGTGTTCAGAGGTTTAGGGTAGGGTTTAGGTACCTCGACCCCAAAACCCAAACCCTAAAACCTTCAGACTTCAGGCGGATGACTCCAACGACAGTTAAGAGCTAAAGCGGCGCAGGGGCATCTTCCATCTCATTAAAGAAGGACTTGATCTAGCCTGTGCGCCCAGAGGAGCGTGCGGCCAAACCTGGAGGCCACGACTGAGACATTTCATTGAGGGTAGCGCCTTTGGGGATAGGTATCGCCCACCCTAAACCGTAAACCCTAAACCTAAACCCTAAACCCCAAACCCCAAAGCTGCCTAGAGATGCGCGGGATTTAGCCAGCCGCTCAGATAGATTTTCGGGTTGACGCACACAGCATCCCCTCATAATGAGAAGCCCAATAAGGTACCCCTAGTTTCGGGAACCCCCATTTCGGGTTCAGGGTTTAGGGTTTGGGGTTTAGGATCGGCCATCCCAACCCTAAACCCCAAACCCCTAAACCCTGAAAGCTAAGGTCAGGGCGTAGAGTGCCGGTGGAAGGATCAGCTCCTGCAACGGTGCAGACGGTTCTCCGATGCTTAGACTATGTTTAGGGTTTAGGGCTTTGAGTTTAGGGTTTCGGGGTTCATGGTATGGTGGGTTTAGGGTTCAGGGTTTAGGGTTTAGGGTTCAGGCATGAAGTAGTCTTTGGGGGAGCCAAATTTGCAGAATTGAAGAAAGGTTCTGTTAAATTGGCATGGTGAGAACAGAAAACTAGGCAACCTCGTCAACGGGACTGCGAACAAAATAAAGGTGCCTTGCAAGCCACCCTAAACCCTAAACCCTAAACCCTAAACGCCAAACCCTAAACCCCAAAACGCAAACTCTAAACCCTAAACCTCAGCTGCCCTAAAGCCCAAATATCACTCCGCAGACTAGAGGAGGGTGGGGGGTGGTGGGTACGGTCGGGAGAAGACAGGTTCGAACCGGTTCGAACCCTACACCCTTAACCCTAAACCCCAACGGCCCAGACGCACAACGCAAACCGATAATGTAGGGGCCTTAATAATTAGAATAGGGTTTTGGGGTTATGAAGGTATACTTATATTGGTCTTGGGGGTCCATACTACCGGGATCATGAGGGAAGACTGCTAGTAATTCTTCCGACCCCTATATTTGGTTTAGGGTTTAGGGTTTATAGGGTTTAGGGCTTGGCTTCAGTAAGGAATACAACTCAAGCAAGGAACCCCATGCAGATTCAGGGGGTCTGCACCTCCAAGTCCAAGGCCCAAGTCCTGAACCCCTCAGCCCCAAGTGAATGCTTCATGAAGAGGAACTGGGCTATAAACCCTAAGCCCTAAACCCTAAACCCGAAACCCCACACCCCAAAGCCTAAACCCTAAACCTGGAAACTCAGGCCACCGCCGTGAGCTCGACCTCCACCAAATACCTTCGAAGGCTTTGGGCTTTCCAGAGTGTAGGGGCTGCCCAGCTTCAATGCTCCCACTCATGTGGGATGTTCCCCCTTATAGTAGCAGCCCTTAAATGGGAGGTGGTTAGGGGTACTGGAATCCCTAGTAAGGCCTGATAGTATAAGGGGGAAATCTCAAGCCCTCATCTTCTTACGACCCCAAAAATCACAACTGCTTTCCCATCATGTCTACCTTGACCTAAACGCCTCCGAATAAGTCAGGGGAATGACTTGCTCAGGCTTAGCACAAAATGTCGCAGGACAACAACAATTGCCTTGGATTCTGCAGGCTTTGGGGACCCCGGCTCGTCTGAGTAGAGGGTCCTAACCACATGGAGCTCGATGGTGTTCTCCTGGCAGTGCGCGCGACTGGCGCGCCCAAGTTGCTCAGGGCTTAGGGCTTCGGGCAAGAAGCCGCAAGCACTGGGAGGCTCAAGATAAATGCAGCCGGATCCACCGGAATGTTGAAAACGGCGCTCTCCTCCCTGAAGTTTGCCTCGCAACGCACTCGCATGGAATGGCGAAGGACAGTCCAGCTTGGTACCTGCTTCTCAGGCCAGCTTCGAAAGGTCCCGGCAGCCGAGTTAGACCCGAAACCCTAAACCCTAAGCCCTAAGCCCTAAACCCTAAGCCCTAAGCCCTAAACCCTAAACCCTAAACCCTAAACGGCGGGCCTTCGTGGTGCCCTTCAGGGGCACCTGCACTCGCTGCGAGGTGAAGCCAGACAAGCCTCAGTTGGGCAAAAGCGCTGGGGATTCGGGGTTATCCTCAAGCTTTAGGGTTTAGGGTTAAAGGGTTTAGGTCTTGGGTGTTCTAGGGTTTAGAATAGGGTGTAGGGTTTTAGGGAGTTATAGGGTTTAGGGAGTGATAAGGGTTAGGGTTCTAGGGTTAGGGAGTGAAAGGGGTCTGGGGTTCTAGGGTTTAGGGAGTTTAGGGCTGAAGGGTTTAGAGCGCCCACTTGAGCACTCCCTTTCCAGCTCAAAATTTAGGACTCTGGCGCAGGTAGATGATGGACCCAGCCTCAGGGCAATCAAGAATCGCTCATGCTTCGATGAACTTCGGCCCTTGGGATGTTTCCCCTAACACTACCAGTCCTTAGTAGGGATTATAGCCGGGGGGACTATCATCCCTCTGAAGGACTGTTAGGATAAGGGGGAACATCCCAATTCGGCCCTATGAAGGCCCCTAAACACAAAACCCTAAGCCCTAAGCCCTAAACACTAATCCCTTGTGGCTGAGCCCGGTGCAAAGAGGGGCCTGTTGCTGGAGAAGTAGAACATGACGTTGCTCATCGTGTTGGGCATGTTGTTGGTGTACATCAGCCTGGGCCACAACACCACACAGTTTAAGGGTTTAGGGTTTAGGGTTTAGGGTTTGGGGTTTGGGGTTTGGGGTTTGGGGTTTGGGGTTTGGGGTTTGGGGTTTGGGGTGTGAGGACGAAACCCTAAACCCTAAACACTGCGTGAACCCTGGAATTGGGACATGCACCACGCTCTTCTAATATCCCTAGGCAGGGATGGACCTTAAACAAAGGGAAGATGCACGAAGGAGTTGTCGGCACCCCACAACCCCTCATCCCTATACCCTTAAGTTTAGGGTTCAGGGTTTAGGAGCTTAGGGGTAAACGTCGGCGCTGAGCCCCTGGCCGAGTGAAGGTAAAGTTGCGCACGTGCGGCACTGCACTTGATTGGGTGACCTCGAGTGCCAGGTCCATCTGCGAAGTCTTCGGCTCTGGGCTTTAGGGTCTAGGCTTTAGGGTTCAGAAGTCCCAGAGCCCAATGTACCGCTCAATTGAGGAAGAGGGCTTCTAGGGCTTCTAGGGCTCTTGCGGGGTTAGGGCTTAGACTGCTTAGAACATGAAAAACTGCACAGCGACTTCCGGGGGGCTTGGGATTCTCTTCGGCTTGGCACTCCCTGAGCCCTAAACCCTAAACCCTAAACCCTAAACCCTAAACCTGATTCCCAAGCTTCGAGCAGGGGTCTGTCGCACCACCTCGTCGATGTTGTCGAAGGATCTGGCCGAGACCTCTCAAAGGGGGAGGCTCCCCAGGGCGAGAGCAAGACCATCTGCTGTTGGTTGAGGGTTGAGGGTTGAGGGTTGAGGGTTGAGGGTTGAGGGTTGAGGGTTTAGGGTTTAGGGTTTAGGGTTTAGGGTTTAGGGTTTAGGGTTTAGGGTTTAGGGTTTAGGGCTCAGGGTTTAGGAGCAACCCAAACTTCTAAAAGCCCTGTAAGCCCAATATAGCCCTATGAGCCCGATAAGCCCTAGAAGCCCTATGCGCCCTAAAGGGTCCTAAAAGGCCCTGCTAGCCCCATAAGCCCTAGAAGCCCTAGAAACCCTAGAAGCTCTACAACCACTCGAAATCCCAAATCCCAAATCCCAAACCCTAAACCTTAAACCCTAAACCCTAAACCCTAAACCCGCTTCAGGGCCCTCAGCATCGCACCGTCAGAGTCGGACTGTCGGCTTCCAGCTCAATGGGAAGTCGAAACCTCTGGCCACGTTGAGGGTTGCGAGAGTTTAGGGCTGCTAGGGTTTGGGGTTTCGGGTTTAGGGCTAGGGTTTAGGGTTTTGAGGGTTTTGGGGGTTTAGGGCTGCTAGGGTTTGGGGTTTAGGGTTTACGGCTGCTAGGGTTTAGGGGTTAGGGCTTAGAGTTTAGGGGTTTAAGTACATATAGTGGTTGCATTCGAGATTTAGGGTGCAGGGCTGAGGACTCGCACACGCAGAAGCCAGCAGAGTAAGCGTCCAGCTCGTCAGGCTCTGTTGACAAAGTGACTTGCCGGCCGCCATCAAGAACCTGGCACAATGAGGCATGGAGGGCTTAGGGCTTAGGGCTTAGGGTTTAGAGTGTGGGCTTAGGGTTTAGAGTGTGGGGTTAGCCGGTTTAGAGGCTCAGGGTCAGAGCCTGAGGCGGTTCTACCTTGGACCCTTCAGGTTGTACCCTTGGGTTTTGGGGTCCCCTGTAGAAGGATCCCTCAGGGAACATAATCGTAATCTGTAACGCCGTAGGGATCATTTATAATACCTGCGAAGGAAGCATTGACCGGAACTTTTTTTACGATCGCGTTTGAAAAAGACGAAGGACTATGAAAATTATTATTTGACAGTTCCGGACATGATATGTATAGGTCTTGGTGATGGAGAAGCTTAATAAAGCCGGTAGTCCATGGAGCGGATGAAGTGAAACTATCGCCTACCGTAACGTTAAAACTTAACACTTCATTTATAGAGTTTAAATTATTCAAATCTACGCTGTTGGAAAACGAACCTACGAAAGATGGAACGTCGGCATCAGTTAAGGGAATAAGAAGCACCTCTGCATAATTTGAGGATACCGTCATCTTATTTGATATCGTGTTGTATGTGACGGTATAGGAATTCGACCGACCGCCACTATCAAAGAAAAAATTCAGTTGTGTCTGAATTGCATTTGCTAATTCCGGCGGTGAGTAATTTCCGACTGGTATTTCAATACGCCTATACGTTATGCCTTGCGGTGTAGCTGGTGCGATGATTTGATGTCTAAAATATAGATTTTGATTATTTGAGTTTATTGAATACCACGTATTCGGAATGGCTAACTCATGAACTTGCATAATAGTTCCGTCGGGTATTTCAAAGGTTTCCCTTAATTCAATTTGAAAGTCGCTTATTCCACGACTGTTTGAAGTGCGGTATTTTGAATTTACATAAACCTTTTTATACGTCAATGGTCTGATACTCATAATATTGTTATATAATATAATTGATATAAATAGTTTATAATCTTTTTTATATAATGTCAAAAATACAATTGCAACTAAATACGATGCTAGAAAGTAACGGCAAAATTTCAAACTCACAGGGTATTAAATATGCTTACGATCGTGATAATAAAATTTTTGTTAAAGGAAATAAAATGTATGTTGGAGGAACAACCAGTGCTGTTAATTGGTTAGAAAACTTAACGAAGCTCCCTTTTGGTGTATTAGGTGGCGTCCGTGATATGGAACGATACATTGAAGCGAAGCGAGTATTGCAGGATAACCCGCAAATAACGGAGTTTAAGGGCCATGTTAGGAGTATATGAAGGGGAACCTTGTCGGGTGCAACCTTACGGGTACGGGTCTTCATCCCTTGAAAAACCCCAAACCCGAAACCCTAAACCCTGAACCCTAAACCCAGGAGCCTTGCCCTCTCTGAGGAAGAAGGTCATCGTTCCCGCCATGGCATCCCAGAGCGCCCTGCTCTCGAAAAACATCCAGTCCTGCGGGGCGTGGCGCAGAGCCGACCCCTAAAGCCCTAAAGCCCAAAACCCTAAACCCCTCAGCCCTGAACCCTAAAGCCCCGAGGCCCTAAGGCCCTAGAGCTCCAAACCCTAAAGCCCTAAAGCCACAAACCCTGTAGCCTAAAGCCCTAAACCTCGAGACTAGAGCCTGGATCAAACCCTAAACCCTAAAGCCGAAACCCTAAACCCATCTGGGCACCCCGGCTGCTCCATCGATACTATTGGCGGTATTGAAGTTGACTTCGCCGCTCCTCAGAGTGAGTTTAGGGTTTAGGGTTTAGGGTTTAGGGTTTAGGGTTTAGGGTTTAGGGTTTAGGGTTTAGGGTTTAGGGTTTAGGGCTTAGCGTTTAGGGTTTAGGGGTCAAACAGACTCCCGACATGGGGTGGGGAGGGGGGAGGGGGTGATCAAAATCAGGGGTTCAGGGCTTTTCAGGGTTGAGGGCTTTGGGGTTGTAAGGCTTTAGGGGTTTTCAGAGTCCCTTGGTCAAGTACCAAGCTAGAAGGAGTGTATTACTTCCAAGTCCCCCAAAGGCCCAGGATTTAGATCAACCTCGAGATGGTGCTGACCACTTCTGTGCCATAGCGTGAGCCACGTCACCCCGAGTCTATCCACAGGCAAGAACCGATGGTCTGAAGAGTTTAGGGTCTTCGGGTGCTTCTGACTCATGAGCCTAAACCCCAAGCCCTAAACCCTAAACCCCAAACCCTAAACCCTGAACAGGAATTCGAGGGGGGGACCAGACTTAGCCCGTCACACGTTGTTTTCCCGCTGCACACTGGGCATGGAGAGGATGATCCGGGCGCCTTGGCGTTGGGGCTTGAGGCCTTGTAGGGTCTTGTCGGGCCTTGTAGGGCTGTGTAGGGCTTTGTAGGGCTTAGGGTTTAGGGTTTAGGGGCACCTAGGTACAGCTGTGGACCTTTGGGCATGCACGCTTGCGTGATTATGGCAGGTCTAGCTCGGGAGATTGAAGACCCTACAAACCCTAAACCCTAGACCCTATACGCTATGAAACCCTAAACCCTAAACCCTAAACCCTAAACCCTAAACCCTAAACCCTAAACCCTATGAAAGCGTGAGAAACATGTTTAAAAACCCTGTGCGACCTTTGCCTAGATCAACGACTTCTGAGCCGCAAAGGCACCTGTCCTGCTGCCCTGGAGGGTATGGCGTTCAGGGTTTTAGGGCTTAGGGCCTCAAGCAAGTTCACATCGAGCTCGAGCATCTAAGTCTGAGGCGATCAGACAGCGCGTTGGCAGGCCGAATGGTGAGGTGGATGATGGTTAGCGATGACGACACCTGTCTTCGAGCTCTTGGGGCTGTTCACTCTCATACTAACAGTCCCTAAGAGGTATTTCGAATAGGAGGTACTATATAATCCCTATTACGGACTGTTAGTATAAGGGGGAACATCCCAATCGAGCTGTCAAGTCGTCACCAGGCAAGCACCGAAACGGCTGGGCCAGGGACTGGCGGAGCGAAAGCAACCTCATGGCTGGTTCTTTTGTCCAGGGAGTCAGGGAAGGAGGTACCCTGTATCCCCCTACGTGAAAACAATAGGTATATATATATACATATTATATACCCTATTAAGGGACTCCATAGGATATCCTAATTTCCCCCCTTCCCTACAGGGAACCCGGGAGAAGAAGGGGGCCATTCCAAGAGATGGTGGCCGCGAGGTAAGCGGCTGGCCCGCAGGAACTGCCACTGAAGACCAGGGTCGATCTCAGGCGAGTTCAGTATCGGCTCCTGGCAACTAGCAAGGGTTTAGGGTTTAGGGTTTAGGATTTACCCAACTGACAGAAGACGGAAAGACATCACAGACCCCTTCAGCGCAAGCAGTGCCTCAAGGACCGAAGTCAACGTATCCAACGACGTTGGCCCAGTGATTGTGTAGCCCTGGCGAGCTTCGTCGAGCATCGAACGCTTGCCAGGCTGCGACCGGTACCCACTACAACTTAGAAAGTTAGGCACCCCTTCTCCCCCTACATAACCCCCTCAGGGGCCGTGCAGCGGTAATTCCTTCCCCACTTCCCTGGGTCAGAGCCAGTAGGTACAAGGACCTCCACCCCTTAAGCGCCAGCAAGGGCTACCAAAGCCAGCCCTAAACCCTAAACCCTAAACCCTAAACCCCAAACCCTAAACCCTAAACCCCTCAAGCAGGGCCAAGGGGGCGGTGAAATCCTGCGGAGAGGACTTGGGGAGGACCATGCCTGGGCTCAAGGGCATGCTTGTCTAAGGACTGGCAGGGTTTTGGGGGGTTTGCCTGAAGAAGCTTTTTTTCCCTAAGCCCTAAACCCTAAACCCTAAACCCTAAACCCTAAACCCTAAAACCTTACTTTTTTTGTAATTAGGTCACCTCAGCCCTGTCTGCTCAGCCTACAAGGGATTTTGAGAATAAAGCACCTGAAAAAAACGGGTCGGTTTGGGGTCTCGGGGGATTCCGGGGAAGCACATGCCATGAACCACCGCCCGTTTGCCCCTACGAATCTCAGCCGAGGGCAGCAGATCGTGACTTCCGTGTCCCTGTTGGCCAGCAAAGACTGCCCAGTCCGGACCTGCGTGTCGCTCAGACTTGGGTTTAGGGTTTAGGGTTTAGGGTTTAGGGTTTAGGGTTTAGGGTTTAGGGTTTAGGGTTCAGGGTTTAGGGTTTAGGGTTTAGGGTTTAGGATTTAGGGTTTAGGGTTTAGGGTTTAGGGTTTAGGGCTTAGGGTTTAGGGTTTAGGGTTTTGCGCGTAGGTGATGGAGCATTCGAAGGCCCTACACCCCAAAGCCTAAACCCTAGCTGGGTGCACGGCTGTGAGTCTCAGAAGCCCACTCTGGAGATTATACCTGGCATCTCATCTGTGTCACCTTGCAGTGAAGCCCAGACACAGGAGTCCACCAAGCTGGGCGCACAGTGCCGGCGTGGTAAAGAGTGGGTTCTGTTCCGTGTTGTAGCCTCGGTCAAAGAATGCTTTAAGGCTGAGATTGGGTGTTTAGGAGCAAAAAAAGATGACCATGATATGGATTCAATAGCATGGTGTCCTTCTTCTGGTAATCCAACTAAGCCGCCTGCAACCTATTTTCCCCGTTCCCCTCCTTAAGCTCTACACCCTAAACCCCAAACCCCAAAACCCTAAACCCTAAACCCTAAACCCTGACAGTAACCCAGCTAAGCCCGACTGAGGCTCTCGCCAAACAGGGGGTCTACACCTAAAGGTACCTGGCAGCTGCAACACGGAGAAGGAATCTGAATCCGACGGGTGCGTCCCAGTAGGGTTTAGGGTTTAGGTTTGGGGATCGAGAGTTCGCCCTGTGTGATGATTCCCTGTCAGTCCTCTACACTCCCCCCTTGGATCCAGAATGAAACTAGCATGTCGTAGCATGTTCTCTTGGACTTCTTTTTTTGCATCAACAGAATACCAACAGAAATGCGAGAGCACCGTGTTGCCGGCAGTGATAATCAGGTCGCGAAGGAGCGCATTCCTTAGCAATGCCCGAGCGTGGGAAGTTTCGTAGAAGTGCCTTGACGCAATCAGGGCTTGTTGGGTGCCGACGCGGCGTTGGGCGTGCCAACTGCCTCGAACCCAACGAGGTTGAAGTCTATGTACCTCGGGCTGCGTTTCGTCACAAAGAGATGCAGAAACATGCTCAGTGAGTGGGCATCACAGCCTGCAAGCATGTTAACATTAAATACCTTCTCAACCTTTAAACCCTAAACCCTGACCCTGAAAGCCTTTGAACCCCTGAACTCTAAACCCTAAACCCCAAACCCTGAACATCTCTACGTTCAGTTTGCGCGTTCGCTCGACAAGGCCACGGCTGCGTCTGCTGGATGCTGCTGGGCAAGTCTCTGGACTGGGTGGCCAGAGAAACATGAAGAAGCCGCGGTTTGGGGGTTGGAGGTTTAGGGTTTAGGGTACAGGGTGTCGGGGTAGAGGGTATAGGGTTTAAAGGTAGGGGTCGTAGGTTTAGGGTTGCTGCACTTTTCTGCTAATCATTCCGCTCAGGATGCAAAGGCCACGCGAGGCCCTGGCCGGTTGCAGTATGATGGTGATGTTGGCAAGGGTCCTGGCAACAACATCCTTCAGCCCGCCCTCCAACCGCCCTCCGACCTATACTGGGTTCTTGTTGAGACCTTAACTTAAGGTATCATGAAGGTAACATAACAATAGTATTGTATCATTCACAACATCTATCGTAGATGAATTTGAACCCTAAACCCTAAACCGTAAACCGTTGTGTTCCTTAACAAGAACCCAGCGCACTGATACACTCTGCTGGCGAGGTGCCCGGGATAAAGCGGGTTGTAGGCCAGCGTCGATACCACAAAGGTCTCGGCGCTTGCTGCTCCAGAATCACAGCGCTGAACCCTAAGCCCTAAGCCCTAAGCCCTAAGCCCTAAGCCCTAAGCCCTAAGCCCTAAGCCCTAAGCCCTAAGCCCTAAGCCCTAAACCCTAAACCCTAAACCCTAAACCCTACCCTTTCCCCCCCCCCCCCCCCACACACACTGAGGTGGTGGCCGCAGGGCACAGCTGCTCGCGGTCCTCTGCCGAGAAGTCTTCCGAGGTGCAGACCTGCAGGTTTACCTAAACCCTAAACCCGAAACCCGAAACCCCTAAAGAACCCCTCAGGTCCCTTGTATGGGTCACGCCTTTAGTCCCTTGATAGACCCTTAACCCGAAACCCAAATATCTAAGCCCTGTAAGCTCGAAACCGTAAACCCCACACCCGAAAAGCCCGAAACCCTAAATCCTTAAGCCCTAGAAGCCCGAGACAATGATCCCTAAACCCTGTAAACCCGAAACATTAAACCCTTAACCCTATAAAAGCCCGAAACCCCAAGCCCCAAGCCCCAAACCCCAAACCCTAACCCTAAACCCCTAAACCCTAAACCCTAAACCCTAAATCCCTAAACCCCAAAAGGCTCCGACATCCACCCAGGGGGTCACCACGTCGGTCTGCGCGGTACTGGGTCTCAGCAGCACCTGGGTTTAGGGTTTAGGGTTTAGAGTTTAGAGTTTAGGGTTAGGGTTTAGGGTTTAGGGTTTAGGGTTTAGGGTTTAGGGTTTAGGGTTTAGAGTTTAGGCTTTGGGGTTTAGGGCTGGGGAGCGCATGAGCACACTGAACATACAGAGGATACGTGGTTCCGGGTTTAGGCGTTTAGGCCCGTTTAGGCTTTAGTGCCTTCAAGGTCTTCACAAGCTGGGAAGGCGACCCTAACATCCAAACATTCCCCAACCCAGAACTCCAAACCCTCAACCCTCAACCCTAAACCATAAACCCACGCATGCTCAGGGGGACACCGTGGCAAGGCAGATGACAAAGGCCCTCCGAAGCGCCACAGAGACGCCATAGATCTGAGCCGCATCGTGCCACTCGCAAAAATCAAAGGTTTAGGGGCTTAGGGCTTAGGGCTTAGGGCTTAGGGCTTAGGGCTTAGGGTTTAGGGTTTAGGGTTTAGGGTTTAGGGTTTAGGGTTTAGGGTTTAGGGTTTAGGGTTTAGGGTTTAGGGTCTTCAGCACTTACCTTCAGAACCCAAGCTCCCTCGTAGGATTCTGAAGTCACCTACAAGGACAAGCAAGCCTTTGGTTCCTAAGGTAGGGTTTAGGGTTTAGGGTTTAGGGTTTAGGGCTTAGGGCTTAGGGTTTAGGGTTTAGGGTTTAGGGTTTAGGGTTTAGGGTTTAGGGTTTAGGGTTTAGGGTTTAGGGTTTAGGGTTTAGGGTTTAGGGTTTAGGGTTTGGGTTTAGGGTTTAGGGTTTAGGGTTTAAGGGGCTATTTGTGGTCCCTTCTTGGGAAAGCTGCGCTACTGGCCACTTTAGCATTCGACGATTGAACCCTTCAACCCCATAAGCCCCCAAAGAGAACTTAAATGCCTCAGAAGGGTCTACTGTAGGAGCCTTAACAATTAGAACAGGGTTTTGGGGGTTGTTCTAGTATATGTACAAACCCTAAACCCTAAACCATAAGGGAACACCATTAGTAATTATTCCGACCGCTATGTTAGGGTTCACGGTTCAAACCGAGGTCCCGGCAGGTGTCATGCCCAAGACCTGTCAGCGCAGGATTTGGATCGAGGGTTTAGGGTTTAGGCTTTAGGGTTTTGGCTTTAGGGTTTATTTGGGGTTCAGGGTTTAGGGCTTCGGGAACCCTATACTTTGGGATGTTCCCCCCTAAATTCGCAGTCCTTGATACGGATTAAAGTAGGGGGGACTGTGATCCCCAGTAAGGAGGGGAACATCCCAACCCATACCCCTAAGTACCCGTAAACCCCCTGGACTCGAAGCATCTTCCGAGTTGTTCCCTGAGCTGGGTTCCTCGTGCAACTGATGCACAACTCGGGCTTGCCCCTTGCCGCGAAGCCCTGTGGAACATCTGTCTCAGGAGGGTTCTGCGCATAAACGTTCGGCCTAAAGCTGGCTCAGGAAACGAGCCGTCGACATTTCGGCGGCGACTTCTCCAGACATGTTTTGCCCCAGCTGCTGCTCGAAGACCTTCTGGATGCTGGGGTTCGTCTGGACGCGGACCGGCGGGTTGGCCGAGTTGACGATCTGCTCGATGACTACATCTGCTACCTCATCGGGAGTCTGTCCAACACTGGACGAGGTGCGATATGCTCCCATGGTTGACTCGAGTGGCTTTTGGTATTCGGATGGCATAGAACTGGTGTCAGGCACTTGTGCATTGGCAAAGAAGGCAGACTTAATCGCCCCGGGCTCCACGCATGAGACGTGAACACCGAATGTGCGAAACAATGCGGCCTGACTCTCTGTCAAGCCTTCAAGAGCAAACTTTGATGCGCAGTAGATGTCGTTGAAAGGCTGACCCCAAATGCCGCCCACCGAAGAGATGTTGATGATCTTGCCCGACTTCTGCTGTCGCATGTATGGAAGCACGGCCTTCTGACATCGGATAACCCCAAAGAGGTTGGTTTCCATCTGAGCCTTCATTGCATCCATGCTCATCATCTCAACGCTGCCCGCCTGGCTGTAGCCGGCGTTATTCACCAGCACATCGGCGCGACCAGCCTCCTTCAGGGCTGGGGCAAGGCCAGACTCCACCGAGGCATCGGTGTTCACATCCAACTCCAGCGCCCGGATGTTGCTCGACACCTCAGCCTTCACCGCAGCCTCGAGCAAGGCATCCTTCTTCGCCAGGCTGCGCATGCCCGCGAAGACCAGGTGACTCCGCGCCAGCTTCACTGCCAGCGCGAGTCCCAAACCGGAGTTCGCGCCAGTGACGACGGCCACCGGAAGAGCCATGATGCTGCTGTCGTAGCTGAGCTTCCAGGAGCAGCCACGGACAAATGGACTCGATGGGTAGCGGCTGCAACGATCGCCACATGATCGTTTCTGCACTGCACTCCCCTGGTTGAGCCCCCTCCAATATATATATATATATATATACATATATATATATATATACATATATACATACATAAGCATATATAGCAAATATAGTGATATCTGTATATATATATATATATATATATATATATGTATATATGTATGAAAACATCTATACTTATACATGCACATTTAAAATGTGTATATACATAGATATCTGGGCTTATATTTGAGAAATAAATATTCATATAAATGTAATATAAATATAAAAACAAATATAAATATAAATATACATATAAATATAAATATAACAGAAAGAAATATAAACACAAATGAAAAAATAAATATAAATATACATGTATATATATATATATACATATACGTACATATCTCCCTTCCAACAAACCAGAGCACAATTTCTAGGGGGGCCATTCTTATGTGCACAAGCCAAAAAACGGGAACTCACACTTCCTTCTAAGGTAAGGGAGCTTTGGCCCTATAAACCCTAACCCAACACCCCGATGCCCCTCAACTGCGGCCGCCAGGAGTGAAAGCAGGATCCCTTTATGAAGATTTAGGGTTTAGGGTTAGGGTGCAGGCTTGTTATGGCTCGGAGGATACGCAGCTAGTTAAAGATATGTCTGACTCTGCATGGATGTAGCCCTTTGCGGCATATTCCCATAACTACCCAGAGCCCTAATGATTGAAACTCGCTCATTGCCTTCGGGTCATGGTCGCCGCCCACCCCGCTGCTCGAGGCGTAAGTTGCTGAGCCAGAAACCGCGCCATATTGGGTTGTGGGTTTAGGTTCAGGTTTTGAAGCTTATAGGCACTTTGGGGCACTCTAAACCACATGAATCCTACTACTACTTACTACTACTCCTACTACTACTACTACTACTACTACTACTACTACCACTCCTACTACTACCACTACTACCACTACTACTACTACTACTACTACTACTACTCCTACTACTACTACTACTACTACTACTGCTACTACTACTACTACTACAACTACTACTCCTACTACTACTCCTACTACTACTACTGCTACTCCTACTCCTACTACTACTCCTACTACTACTACTGCTACTACTCCTACTACTACTCCTACTACTACTTCTGCTACTCCTACTCCTACTACTACTACTACTACTACTCCTACTACTACTACTACAGAGCCCCAAAAACGCGGCTCATCGTTGACCCCTCATTTTGAAGCCTGCACGGCCGTTCGACATTCGAATGTCACAGCGAGTCAATGGAACTTGAGTCGGTGCAGGCAAAGGCGGCAAAGGATGACGGGAAGCAACAGCCTCCAAATCTCCGGAGACCCTAAACCCTAAACCCTAAATCCTAAAATCCTAAACGAGCAGTTGCCGGACACGCCGGTGCAACTCTCAGGGCAAGAGTTGAAAGCTCACTTGGAGGTTCATGGTAATTAATACACTGTACTTATAGCCCACTTATAAGACCCTTAAGTGCCCCAATATGGCTGTAAGTACAGTCATAAGTACAGTTATAACTGGTTAGTACCATGAACCTCCAAGCAGGCGTGCAAAGGCTGTGCCTCAGCACATGCACGTGCTCACCATGGCGACCCACCTAAACCCTAAACCCTTAAAAGATAAAGGCTATCACATGGCCCAGCAGGAAACCAATCTCCCCAACGCTTACCAGTGCAGCTGAAAGCGGTGGGCAATCAGGGCAAAGGTCAAAAGTGGCGGGGCATTGGCTCAACTCCTCAAGAATCTGCCTACCGCTATTACTTTTGCATGATGTCAGTCGAATTCCGAAGCTACTTGTTTCTCCCTACTGAATCAAGAAATTGAATTGAGATCACTTTGGCCATCAGACACTTGACTCCCCGGACTCTCCCAACAACATCTCACGCAAGCGAATCTCGATTTCCCATTGAATGAAATCATCCAAGCCCATCGTCCTTCAAACCGAGGACATCTTTGATATGCTGTGTTGTCCTCTGGTGGAGCAGAGTCTTCTGTTCCCAAATCATCCCATTTTCGATGGATACGAGGTTCGAAAAACACAACTCAAATCAACAACGCAATTGCAAAATCCATGCTAACCGTCACTGTGTTTACCATAACTTGCTTCAAACCGTTTGCCCAAACAATACCAACTATGTCATCCCCACCCTAAAGTCAAGCAAGTTGATAGGAAATGGGATCTGGCCGCGAGGCCAACATGAACCTCATTCACGGAACTTCGTGTCGCTTCATGCTTATGTCAAGGAGACACATGGGCATGTTTTTTTGTTCCGCTCGCGGCTGTGTCTGCGCATTGTCGCGGATGTGTGTCTGCGCATTGTTGTGGCAGCATCGAGATGGGATGTGAACCTAAGTTAAAACCCAAGGCTTCTGTGCCTTGGCATGCCTTGGCTGCAACAATCACGTGCGCCCTGGCAACATTGAGATTCAAACGTATCCTTTCGTGCCAAACGATGCAAGAAACAATCGTTACGTCATAGTGAGGTTGTGTCTGCAACTCACTTGCATCGCTCGGCTCCATGCCCTAATGACACCACGTGACTCAACATTGTTCTCGTTAAGGTTCTCCTATAGGAGATCCTTGACACGCGAAAACGGCTCGTGTTAGCCGCGGGGAAATGAGAACTGTCTGATTTTGGTCACGGGCAGTAACTCAGAGCACAAAAATACGGAGAAAGTTAAAACGGAAGCTGCGCTTGGTGCTTCAGCGCGTTGCCATTGAACTGAAGCTATCAGCAGTGGGTGGCCTGCCACAGCCTGCTCAGATCATCAATGGTGGCCTGGATCAAGGTAGTAGGGGTGTGAAGACTCGGTTCCAGCTTAAAAGTGAAGCTCCCACACTTTTGAACCGAAACCCAATCAATGGCATAGCGGCGTTGTGGATGGACATAGAAACCTCCACCAGTCCCGCGATGCGCTGCCGGGCATCCTGCGCGTTGGACCAACTGTGAACGAATCCTCTCGCTTTGCCGTACTCGGGTTCTGCGGGAGTCCATGCGGAAGTCTGATGAATAAGATCTAGAGTTAATATGATCCGTTGGCTCCTTGTTTTGCCGAAACGATTGCCAAGGCTTGCGTCGGTCCTCGATCACATCTTGGTTCGGGGGCTCCATGTCCGCAACTTGGAACCTCGCCTGTCATTGTTTGGATTTCTTATTCGGAACCCGTGATTCGAAGTGTCGCCAAATTTATAACTAAACCCTACACCCTTCTTGCTTCCTGTTGGCTAGCAGGGACTGGGGGAATGAGGTACCCTATATCATCCCTTAAAGGGTATATATGGGGCCCTAATTCCCTCATTCCCTGCTAACCAACAGCAAGATTGAAGGAGCGTGATGCGTTTTTGCCAGGATGTCTTGGATCCATTCGTCTAAGGCGTGCTGTCTGGCAAGATTCGCATCATCGAGGATGTAGCAATGCTTTATTCATATCTTTTGCAAAACGATCACCTCGCCGGGATTTGGAGGGAGATGCAACCTTATAAAGCTCGCGCCTGGAGCATCTCCATCTCGGAGAAGATGGCGTCCAGTTGTTCCAAGCTCTGACCGAACAAGCCTTTCCTCGGTAGGCTGCAGCGACTACCCGACAACCAACACACGGCCGCAGCCTCAGCGGACATTGACCCTAAACCCTAAAACCCTAAAACCCTAAAACCCTAAAACCCTAAAACCCTAAAACCCTAAAACCCTAAAACCCTAAAACCCTAAAACCCTAAAACCCTAAAACCCTAAAACCCTAAAACCCTAGAACCCTAGAACCCTAGAACCCTAAAACCCTAAACCCTAAACCCTAAACCCTATAACCCTAAACCCTTCTTTTCTGCTCCTAGGCGCTGCAAGGCTTCACCGATTGTCGTCTCGAGCTCTTGACGTAGCATGGCTCCCGAGTTGCACAGCTGCTTGTGCCTGGTCTCCTTGCAATCCCGAGGGTGTAGGGTTTATAGGGTTTATAGGGTTTACAGGGTTTACAGGGTTTACAGGGTTTATAGGGTTTATAGGGTTTATAGGGTCTATAGGGTTTATAGGGTTTATGGGGTTTATAGGGTTTATAGGGTTTACAGGGTTTATAGGGTTTACAGTTGGGACTGGGCTGTAACACGTTTCCTTTACAGGAATTTCAGCCTTATATTTGGGTTCATTTCACTCTTATCTTTTGGGATTTCAATCTTATTTTTGGGGTTCATTTCACTCTTATCTTTTGGGATTTCAATCTTATTCTGGGGTTCATTTCACTCTTATCTTTTGGGACTTCAATCTTTGCATTTCACTCTTATATATGGGGATTTAAGCCATTATTATTTCACACATGTACACTTTCACTCCTTATCCTACAGTACCTACTCGAGTCATGGTCCTGTATCGCCCAAGGCTCTACCAATGACCTCAAAATCCACACCAAAGTTGGCTCCCGAAACGGTGCCGGTATGGCAAACATATCGGTCAGAATTTCACTCTTATTTGGGGGGGGATAAGGCTGAAATCTGTCCGGGAAAACAAGGCTGAAATCCTGGGTTCCCCCAAGAAGAGCTCGAGATTTCATTGTTACCCGCGGCCCCGGATTTCACTCTTACCCCGCCCCGGATAAGGCTGAAATATCTGCCTACCTGACACTGGTTTTCGGAGCGCTTTTGGGGCGTTTAGGGCGTGTTTTGGAAGGGTTTTCGGGGCTCGTCTGGCGACTTCTAAGGGCTCGTCGAGCACCTCAAGGAAAGGCCTCGGAATAAGGAACGACCACGACAGGATACATGACCCCCAAGATAAGGCTGAAATGGCCCCAGGATAAGATTGAAATGGGCCCCGAGATAAGGCTGAAATGACCCCAAGATAAGGCTGAAATGTCCCCAAGATAAGGCTGAAATGGCCCAAAGATAAGGCTGAAATGCCCCCAGGATAAGATTGAAATGCCCCAAGATAAGACTGAAATGGCCCCAAGATAGGCCCGAATAGAGTTGACAGAATCCCTATAAAGAACCCCCTCAAAAACGTGATAGAGCTCACCTCCAAGTTTACAGGGTTTGTAGGGATTTGGGGTTAGGGTTATATAAGTAGTAGAGAGCAAGGAGCCCGGAACTCCAAAGCAGTGTGGGAGGGAGCAGGGAGGGAGCAACTCTCGGACTGACACGACATGACGCTACTAGGTGTAAGCAGGTGTGCCTGCTGCAGGGCAGTCTGGCCCTTCGTCACACTCGCCAGGTCCATGCTCTCCACCTTCACGTCCCTGAGATCCCGCTTCGCGAAGAGGGTTAACATGTCAGCGTCCACAAACTGGGATGCCAGAAGCCCCACGAGAGGGTTGGCCTTCACCCAGGTCTCCTGGCTTAGAATTTTAATTCAGGGGCACGACTGCCTCCTTCCCCATCTTCACTGTGCTTTTTCGGGATCGTGAACATGTCTGCAAGAGGATACCGAACAAGGAGGACGGGCTCCTTCAAAGCGGCCTCCGCCTGGCGATTGGCCCGAGCCAGCCCCTGGTAAGCCGACTTCAAGAGGTTGAAGGGGAGGGCGCACCTTTGGGCCAGGGCACGAGCAAAGCAATGAAAAAGTCACCCCAACAGCACTTAGTGAAATGGCTTGCTGGAGGCTTCCTGCCCTGTCCGAAACTGGGAGCCTCCCGTCTGGCGTGGTTTTCCTAACCCTAAACACTAAACCATAAGCCCCAAACCCTAAACTCCAAAACAGCGGGCTCTCTGCCAAGGTGCGAAGTGTAGTCGTCCACGACGTTGATGGCAGACTTGAAGGTCTTCCAGTAGGAGTCCATCGCATCGATGTAGGAGTCCAAGTGCTGCCGCAACTGCCACCATGTCTGGTCCGTGCTGGCTATCGCGGCCCTTAGCTCCTGTTCCTTCAGCTGGTCCATGACCTCTGTCAGCTCGATCTGTCCCGAAGCACGGATCCTGGGAGCTGGGATCTTCGACTTTAAAGCTTGCAAAGGAAAGCTTGACTTCCTTTTGGGGATTGCAGGTACATATGCTGATACTTATTATGTATACCCTGACTGCAACCACAAGGGCCAGGACTGGCGCTGCTTGCTGCGAAAGGCGACGTGGCGGAAAACGCCAAGAGTGCGAACCTTGCTCTTCCACGCCCTATCCAACGCCTGAGTCGCAGGGTTTCAGATTTGCATGGTTTATAGGGTTTGCTTTGGTTTAGGGTTAGGGAAAAGATCGCGCAGGGGGTCTTACTTAACGAGAATCAAGCTGGAGTGTACTTACGCGCTCACGCAACAACTTGCATGGGCGCTGACGATATTCGGGGCACCCTTTTTGGGTCCTACCATATGAGGGGTCTATATTAGGGGTCCCCTACTGTGTTTTCGTAAACCCCCACATGGCAAGATGCAAAACAAAAGTGGGACAAAATGACACAGGAGCCTGCACGGCCTCTGCGGTGTGGTCTGCCACCGCATGCGTCGCCGAAAGCTTTCGAGCGTTCGTGGCGATTTTGACGGTGCCATGCAAACGTCCCACCTGGGGGTGTACGAAAACAGGGGACCCCCAATATAGATCCCCAAATAGTAGGACTCTCTTGTAACCAGGATCCCAATAAGGTACCCCTAAACCCTAAACCCTAAACTCTAAACTCTAAACCCTGAACCCTGAACCCTGAACCCTAAACCCTAAACCCTAAACCCCCCCACCTCCTGGGCCATGGACATCAGGTGAGCAGTGAAGTTGGCCCCCTGGCGCTTTGCTGGTGCCAGTGTCGCATTGTCCTTCAGCTGCCTGTGCCTGGCCCAAAACTGGGAGTAAGCAGCTTTTAGGGCTCATGCCAAGCCTGAGGCGTTTGGGAGTGTTTAACTTCACCAACCCCACCCTGGCGCACCAGATGACATTAGAACCCCCGAAAAGATCTTCCCTTTAAGAGCAACAAAGAGATTTGCATTTGGTCATTCTCTGGGTCTTCTTAAGCAAATCGTAGCATTGACAACGATCATTCTTACCAGGACTCCCTTCTGAGCCCCAACTGTGATTCAGCACTCCTGGGGCCCAGACGTGGCTGTTCTACCGAGGCATCCTGTTCTGGCGGGTTTCGGGTTTAGGGTCCCATTGGAGCGGCTGGGCTCAGGCAAAACCTTGGACGTCACCCTGCACAGAGACGGCTTGGAGACGCTACATCTTCAGAGAGGCCCTGGAAGGAAAGGTCTGGGAAGCCCTGGACATGATAAAGTCTTTGGATCCCCAAAGACTGGCGCTGGAAGTCCTACTGGTAGCAGGTCAAACCCTAAACCCTAAACAGCAAGGTAACGGCCCTCGAAACCTTTCTGCATCGGAGGATTCAAGCTGGGTAAGCCCTCGCGAGCGCGAGAAGGAGACCAAAGGCACACCAAAGCATTCATGCGCCTGAGCGTAAAACTTTGAAGCCTGAAATCGGCATCGTTAGCAGAACGCCCGCGGTCCTTTCACACAATCTGGGACGCTACACCGATTGTGTCTAGGGCCTTTACAGCGCCGTGGCCTCATGGGCGCCACGCCACGCAGGTATGTAGATAACTTCCTAGCTTGACAGCATGCATGATGCATGTATTCTATTCTCAATCTTACTCCATCACGCTGAACATATTGCCAGTTCATTTCAGGATGCGTTGCAAGGTTTTCGGCCCACGCTCCAGGGTTTCACCCTGGCCGAGGCGGGAGTGCGGCAGCATGAATGCCACTGTTAGAACATCTTTGACGAATCGTCTTAGGGTTTAGGGCCTAGGGTTCAGAAGTCTGTTCAGCCAAAGGTTCAGTTGCTGCTTGAGGCTTCCCATGCGGCCGATGAAGTCCACCAGGCTACGGCTTGCGGCCGCGCCGGCCACGGGGTGCAGCCGTTGCGAGGCCATCCGCTTCATCTCCACAAAGTTCCTGTAGGAGGCCCCGTGCTTTGGGGTTTGGGGTTTAGGGTTTAGGGATGAGGGCTCAGGGCTTGGATGGGCCTAGTCTTCGGGTTCCAACTTCCAGAGGAAGTCCACGCGCAGCACCCGGACTTTCGTCGAGACACTGTCGGACAAGACCATCACCCTCAGCATGGACGGTCGGACCCCGGACTCCCGTCGACAACGCGAAAAGAAAACAATTCATCAACAGCCAAATTGGGGTTTCGGAAATAGAGGTACCCTTTTATTCAATTTGGGGTTGAAAAGGGTACCCCTATTCTGGGACATGCCCAAATCACCTGTAAAACCGAGGGCAAGGATTTCGGAGCTATCGTTCTCTGCAAGGCCCCAATCCGACAGGGGCCTCATCGTTCTGCTAAGCAAGTCGAAGGACAGACGCGCTTAGTCGGATAACAACACCCAAGCACAATCGACGCTTCACTTGCTGGCACATCTGCAAGTTAGCATGCAGGTGTTTGTCAGGATGTTGGCCGCCAAAGAGCATCGGACACCATGGCCGCCATGTCCAATGTGAAAGCCAAGTTGTCGGACGTGAAAGGCATACAGACCTTCATCAAGAAAGCAACCGGCAAGACCATCATGCTGCTGGCATAAGTATCATAAGTTGGATCCGTAGCCAGATGCAGTGCGGCATGCAAGGCCTGCTCTTTTCAGGAGGACCGTCACATGCGATGTGCCGCACACGGACCTTTAAACCAGGCGGCCCCTCTGCCTTGAAGGCTTACAGTCCCAGCCCAAGGGGAGCTACACTTCGGCTGAGTGGTTCTGGATGAACACCTGGCAAGACAGCCAGCTTCTCACATCCACGGCTCATCCCCAACGATACGAATACGTAACGGATTCGAAGTTGTAAAAGGCTCGTCCATCGCACACACCCATCAACCAACACCGCACGAATAGCCGAGTCCCCACAGGCTGGACCCTCGGTGCCATGGAACAGTGCTCAAGACTTCAAGGATGAAGGGACCCGCGGAAAAGTGGGGAACACATCATCGAGAAGGGGTCAGGAAATGCTCCACCTGCTTGTGCAACTTCGCGGCAGAACTTCGCGGCAACATGCAAATCGACATCAAGACGCTGACCGGCACGAGTCTCATGTGGATGTGGGTCACCGAAAACCTAGTGAGCTTGTGAGCTAGTGTTGTGGAGCTTGTGTATGTTTCGTTGCGTGCCGAGCGCGTAGGACGGCTCTCTGTGTGGCTGCCGGTTCTGAGTTATGAATAATCACAATTGTGACGAGGCGCAGCACGCCCTGATTGCAGCTTGGGGCCTTAAAACTCGTCTGTTTGTCAAGTCGTAGGTCCAGGGTTGCGTTGGGTCACTTCACGGTCTAGCAAGCCCATGCAGGGGTTAAGGGTAGAAAGGACAGGAGTCCTGGCGATGCCGTCCACGACTTCCTGCTGCTGCTGCAATAGGCTTGCATCGCCCCCGCCCAGGTAGGTCTGGAAAAGCACCTGGAAAAGAAAATGGGACTCAACTTGCAAGCTGATGGCTACTCAAGGCCTGGTCTCTGCTTTCGTTTCAACAATCAAGCACGTCTGGGAGAGCGTCAGATGGAAAGAAACGGAAAGGCGAGTGCTAGCGTGATTCGGTCCAGCACCACTCTACCAAGAACTGAAACGATGAAACATGTGTATGAGTTGGTGTTAGGTAGCACTTGTCTCATGGAAGCCTGGAGATTCTGATTCATGGTCTGGACCGCACTCTGGAGGGTCTGCAAGATCGCGGCATCCCCCTTCAGCACGGCATCCCGCACACAGAACAAGTCGCAGAACAGGCGAGCAAGCCCATGCTGCCTCAGCCCAGCTTCTGGCAGATTCGGCACCACAAAGGCAATCCCCTCAACCAGCTAATCTTAGTTGCTGAGTTCATAAGCCCCCAAGAAAGTGCACACTTGCAGTTCTGAGGGGGATTCTAGTATACCCAAAAAATGAGTGTACTCCTTCGGCTACTGAGTACTCGACAGCACAAGTGAGCTGACTCAGGAGAGCTACATGGAGCTGCAGTCGTTGGTGTTGTCGCGTCCGTATTTGCGGGCGGTTTCTTGCCGTGTGACCAGAAAGATGAACTCCTTGAACATTCTTGCGAACTTAAACGCGTTTGCGAACTTTCCTCCCCCTTCCATTTTGAAGCCTCCACCGACAAATGGCACCAGCAGAACTGGATCTGGGACCGCTGCGTCAACCACGTGTTCAGCCCCGGCAAGACCATGGTCTACCCATAGCTCCGTTTCGTCGAGCACCCGGTTTGCTTCATTCTGCCTGAAAGGGTTCAGGGGCTAGAAGTATATAGGGGGCCATGGGGCTCGGCGCGCTTTGACAGAAGCTGTCCCTTTCTCGCGCCTGCTCTCTGCTGTGATCTCGCGGTCGGCGCACTCTTTAACGGACCGGTAGGTGATGTCTTGCAGGATTTGGCTCGGTCCTCCGCCTTCGCCATCTTCCCGGTTCCACCAAGACATGCCAGCCGCCGCGTGCGTCTGGTTTTCCCGCTTGTCACTCCAAACGTAGCTGCACGGGTGCTCCTCTCCGAGTTTCAAGGCTTCCTCGTGCATCGTGGCTTGTGAATAGGTGGCGGTCCCAGGCGTGGAGGGGTCCTTGCAGTTTGACCCCTGCCTCCGTGACAAGGCTATCCATGTATTGTATATACATGTATATGTATATACGTGCTTGAATATATATATATATATATGTGCATATATGCATTTTGACAAATAACATACATAAAGAAAGTACACTTGGACAGTTACTTGATTTCCATTTTAACATGCTCCTAATTTTTCGAAGCGTGTTCTGACACCTCCTTGATATTCCGGAATCCTTAGCCTTAACCATAGCACACACGCCGCGAAAACAGACAAGATATTCCTGCTCTAAGGAATGGATCCGAGGAAAGGGGAGGCAACAAGATGGCAACAAGCCTACATACAGCGACTGAAGCAAAGGAACACCTTGCCTTTTCCCATTTTTCGGATTTGGTTCAGGCCCTGCTAGGAGCCCTTCCTCCAATGCTCCAACCAAAACTTGCGTTCCCCCCTTTTGACCCCTATATCCCTCCCATTCTCCCATGGCGCCTTCAGGAGCCACCGGGCATGTAGCCCCGCTACGCATGCCGAGGGGCTGCGCTAGCTCGTGCACCTCGCAACCTCCCATGGACCCCCTTTGCCCCCAGCTCCACCTCTCATGGACTTGACATGGCCGTCTCCTGTATAGCCCTGCATGGAAATACTGTATGCCAGCCACAACCTCTGTGGGGCGTCCTCTGGCCCGGCAATTCTGCACGGGGTAAGCTGAGGCTGCGCACGCTGGCGGTCATATCAAACTTGATAACCCTACAACGCTACAACGGATGAGCTACAAATCTTAATTCAGTTCTTTCCACGAACAACCTTGCCCCATTGTAGAGACAGATTGCATACATGTCAATCAGTAGACTCTAAATGCGGTTTGGAGGTTGTGTGTTGGCTTTAGAGGCTCCCTCTTTTCAGGAGGGTGGTTGGCTCAGAGCTTTGTGGCTGTTGCACAAGGCTGTGTAGTGTTGTCGGACAGTGGTGGAAATGGCCTTGAACGGGTCGCTTGAGTTGGGCGGCTTGTTGGGTTATACCAGGCAAGGTAAAGTCTCGCTCCCACTCCCCCGACCCCCTTTCGGCAGTCCCTTCTCGGTCCTTGCAGATCTCCTCATACTCAGGGGTGTGGGCGGTGAGGTCATTGAGCTCCCTTGAATCAACAGGATACCAAGAAAATCTGCAGATTTGCTTTCGACGTCCGGACTCAACATGTCATTGCTTCAAACCGATAAAGGAAAAAAACAAAACAAAAACAGTTCCAACGACGTCGGAATGTCGGAGGCTGCGGAGGCAGGACTGCCGGCTTCGTCTGGGGCAGTGGCTCCACCGGGCTCGGCCTCGCAGTGGTCGTGGCACCCGCGCCGGTGCCTTGGAAGACCGTGGCAAAGTCCGTGATTTGCATGACTCTCCAGCTGGCACCGAGCTCCTGCTCCCCCAAGTCAAGTGGATGCACAATGTCCGTGGGGGTGGAGCAGAAGTCGTCGCTGCTGGTGCTGACGCACCACTCGCCCTGAGACCTGTTATAGGCTAGGGTGTCCGTGTGTTGAGGGACATCTTCAGGGAGGATATACGGCTCGAAGCTGAGGAACTGCTGAAACTTGGGCCGCCCAGAGTTGTCCAACCCGGTCGGAAAATAGATGCCCGCAGTTTCGTCCACAGAATCTTCGAAGCTGAAGTAGGGCCGCAGGGTCACAGGAGGCTGTGCGAGGTAGCAACAGGTTGCCTTGAGTCGCATGGCCTTTCCTGCAGCATCCACTTCCGCCTGCAACGACTGCATGACGTGGCCCTCTTCGCAGTCCACCTCAAGAAGTCTCAGAAAGTCCAAATCGTAGACCTCCACAAGGCGAAACTGTGAGACTGAACCCTCAACTCTCAACCCCGAAAAGAAGCTTGGAAGAGCTGAGAAGATTGAGGTGCCTCCTGCTCCTGGACTGAAACTCTCTCACCGCATGTGCCCAGACCGACCACGGAGTCGCAGGCCCACCAAATCTGGGTTAGGGCTGCGCAGTTTATAAGGCTTTGGGCTGGGATGGAGTGGAGACGATCCTTCTTTAACACACACGATGAAGAAAGATGATTACTGCTCGATTACTGCTCGCTTGAGGTTTTTCAAAAAGCGGCAAAAGAAAGTCGTACCCCTCACGGAGCTAGAGACGTCCATGCCCTGTTTCCAGAAGCCGACCATCACCTCGCCGCTCGGGCAAGTGAGGACCAGGTCCGCAGAGCTGGCGACCGACTGAATGTGCCACACCTGGTCTCGCTGGTGGCCGTTTGGATTGAATTGGAGTTGGGTTCGCTTAGTTGCTTGTTTTTAGCTGTAGTCCGTCGGCCAGGTTCGCCAGAGCGGACAGAGAGAAAACTGGGTGCCACACGAATTTTGTGTCCGGTTCCTCCGAAGATGGCAACGAATCATCACTTAAGCTGGATGTGCTCTCGGCCAGAAGGCCCGATTCGGTTCCAATCCGAAGGAAGCCCTCATCGCTGGGTACAACCTCCAGTATTGCGTTGTCTCGATAGATGGGCCTCGCCTTCGTTGCATCTGTGTATAGGAAAGCAGAACCGGAGCCATCCACATCGGAATATGGTTTGTCGCCCTCCCAGAAGAAGAGCTGCCCCGCGGAGCCATCACAGACCGCTAGCACGGCTGAGAGGCAATCCAGGCCAGAGCTGTCATCGCAGGCAGCGTGCTGCATGCAGGTGCCTTCCGCCTCGCTCTCGATGCCCACCTGCGTCAGAGCTCGTGCTGATGGTTGCATTAAACAACCAAGATGGGCCTTACCTTGCGGATTTCAGTTATTTCCTAGCCACGACATCTGATCAACTTTGCTGCGACCAGGGACCCTCAGGGATAGGCGTTTCTTCGTCATGTTGCCCCGCGTGTTTGCCAGAGTGCAGCGGCCAGACCTGACACTCCAAGATGCTGGCGCACTATTGTTGGCGTACTACTGTTGTAACCACGAGCAACAGGACAAGAAGCCACATAGGGATGCCATATCCGACATGGCAGCAAGTCCCTGCAGCCTCCGGCCAACAACAAAGCTTTATGACCCCCTATAGGCCCCCTCCTCCTACTGACACGGGCAAGCTTGCAAGACTATGCGTCGCCCAAGCTCACTTGCACTGGTCGGCTGCACCAATCACAAGTCTGATGCCAGCAAATTCAAAACATAAGAAGAGCACATGCACAACAACAAAAATGATACACATGAGAAGAATACTAATAATAGTACTAATTATGTAATACTACAATTAACAAGCATAAGAACAAGAATAGGAATAGGAATAAGAATAAGAATAAGAATAAGAACCATAAAAGAACAATAAGAATCATAACAATTATTCTTGGGCCGAGGGGACATACCCAGAACCGCTTGGCTGGCATCCGTGGGATCATCTTGGTTGGGCTGCCCGAAACTCAGCATCCTGGCCGGAGCGTCTCTGAGAGCCAAGAACCCCGTAATTCAGGAACCTTCTGCTCAGACCCCTCGGAGGATCCAAAAAATAGATTGGCCCCATTGTAGTATAGGGTACCATTTGGGGGCTTTTTTTTTTGGATCCTCCCAGATTTCTGGGTAGTTGACGTTCGGATTCTATGGATTCTCAATAGCAACATGTGTGAGGAGCGCGCATGCCTCAGGGCAAGTCTGCTGGATGACAGCCAGGTTTGGGGTCTCGGGGTGGTCTTTCTCAAAGCTGCTTCGAGCCTCATCGCCTGTCCGTTGCCGCAATCAAGGAATAGCTCCAGATCGAATGGGCTGTACTTGCCACCGCTGTTCAAGGGGTCCTGCGTACTTTCCACGGCATCTGAGCCCACCGATGCCTTGGCTGACTTGCCTAAAGGACTTTCGGGGGGCACCTTGTTGCAATGTCCTACATAGCAAACAGGGCGAAGAAAAAGCTTGAGTGACCACGGCCCCAGATGCCTTGTACGTCCGCGCGAGGAGCTCGTTCAGTTGGTTGCCGGTCAGGAGCTGTTGTGCTGAGTCGCTGCATGTCTCCTCCACAAGGCTGCGGGTTTCGGGTTTAGGGTCTATGTCAAAGGTGCGGTTGCCTTATTCCGTGCATTGCCGGACGGAAGCTTTCCTAACAGCGACAAAGTCTCCAGGCTGAGGACGGACGCCTCCGACGCCTCCAGGCATTGGCTCCCATCGCAGGAACGGAACCGCCGCAAGGTGTTGGATGAATTGGTGAGTTCCGCCACGAAGCAAGTGTCCAAGGAGAACTGAGCCCCTCCGATCTGCAGGAAAACCTGCAACCTCCATCGGGAGGCAAAGTACAGCTCCTGCAGCGTCTTGTCGGCCAGGTCCTTGACAAACCACCGGAGAGCTCTACGAAGATGCAAGAATCTAAGCTTCTGAACTTCTTAATTCTACGCAGTGTAATGAGCGCATGAGCTCACATATACCTCATGCTTCTCACGCCCGGGCACTTGGTAGACGGATGTGACAACCTGGATGCCAGAGCTGCACTCGAAGTTCACCAAGCCAGGCGTGCCCTCCGCGTTCAGCCAATGCCCTGCGACGCAACGAAGCTCCGCCTGGACGTCGACGGAATAGTACCGTTCGGTCCAGCAACTTGCAACCAATACGTCACCATGGTTGAACACGGAGCCCAGCACGGTCTTGCCGGCCGAAGGCGTGCTGGGCGCCTTAGCAGTTGAATTTCATCGCCGCAGACCGGATGAGTGGGATTTGCAACGCAGCCTCTCCCATCACCCTCACCGCCCCGACCCATACCTCCATCCCTCAGCAAGCACCCGGATCAGTGTCATGTGACTATGGAACCCCTGCGCAATTTCACAGCAAACCCCAAACCCTAAACATCCCTAAACCCTACATCCCCTTCCCTCCTCTAGCCTGGCAGTGCGCCGAGACCTTTGCCACCGCAGTTGAAGAGTCTGCCTCGCCCAGGCTCTTGGCGCAGACCGACTCATAAGGTTGAAAGTAGACCTCTCCACCACAGATCACCAAGTCCACATCCTCGTTTTCCTCGAGCTGCCAGCGCTGCGTCGATGGACTAGGGCTTCGGGTTCAGGGTTCAGGGTTTAGGGTCTAGAGTCTGACACCCTGAACCCTTAACCCCTGTCCTCGCAGGTGCATGCTGTAGGCTGCGTGCCATCGGGACACGACACCGACACCACAGAGCCCTTCGTCCAAGTCGATGTCTCAATAGTCACTTCACCTCCCGGGACAAGTTTGCTGGTTGAGGAGGGGTGAGCATATGCATGTGACAGTATGGTGGTCAACCTTAAACTTAACCCTCAACCCCGGCGCAGATATCGTGCGTAGATATCGTTCGTTCTTTCGTGCAAGTGTCAACCTGAACACCTCCTGAAACGGAAAACCCTGACGCCCCAGCAACCCCACGCACCACTCCGTGAAGTGCAACTGTGTGCAATGTCAACTGACAACTGCACCTGCAAAGGAGCAAGTTGCTATGGTAGCCGTCATGTCATTGGAGGAGGTCCGGCATCCGGTGGAGCTCGGGAGATGCGAATAAGCCACTTGCTCTGGAAAGGTTGTGCACGCCACGGCATAGGAGCCGTGGGGACACTCAGCCTTGGATGTGGCGGCGGCAGACCCAAGCACTTGGTCTGGCGCCAGTGCTGGAAGCTCTGTCTCGTCAGAGACTTCCCTGGGGCAGACAAAGACGAGGTAGGTGCCTCGACCATTGCCGTCGTTGCCGAAAAGCTCTATCAACTCCGCGGCGTCGTACATGCGAGAGTACACGTTCCCTGGCCCTGTGCTTTGAACCTTGACTCCCGTAAAGCCCGACTCCAGGGTCCACAAGGACCGCTCGAACCACTTCGCAAAGCCATAGATGTCGTCGTCCTGATCTTGATACATGCTCAGGTAGACGGTGGAAGGCCACGGGGCCTTGATGCTCCACTGCACATCTGTGAAGGGTGTGTTCATGACTTCGGAGTTCTTCCCCCGCACATAGTAACAGCCCTCCGCATAGTCGCCGAGGGTAGAGAAAGCATAGCCACGGTCGGTGTAAGCCACTTCTCCGACAGCTTGGTCAGACCAATACACCAATTCAACTGCTGTTTCCCCTTCAGATGGTACGTGGCTCGCGACAGCCGAAGGGGCGCCGCCTGGGCAAATCCAGACCATGTATCGGCCAGCAGCAGCCAGCTTGATCTCACCAGCCGGAAAGACGCGATGGTACACCTCGCCAGGCCCAGTCTTGGTGCCGTCCGTGTCGGTCGTCGCACCTGGCATCTACACATTTCCGACAACAGCACAAAGCGCAACAAAACAAAACACCACGGTTTGGAGGCGTTGGCTGCCGCACCTTGTTGAGGCGACGGTGTCCACGCCGTGCGGTCGTCCCAATCCTCAAAATCGCCGGTGTCCCCATCCACGAAATCCAGGTACACGGAGGACGGAACAGGTGTAGCAAGTGTCCAAAGTCTTAGACAGTTTGGGATCTGGTACACAAGCTACACCGAGACATTCAAGGCGTGCAATGCGGAGTGATGTTGAGGCGCGGACATGTCCGGATAGCTCCGGCCAGTCTCTTCCGGCCCACGGACATAGTAGCACTCCTCGCCAAAGCCACCTAAGTTGTCGAAAGTCTCTGGGTCGCCTGAGGTATCATCAGTCCAGACGGCGAGTTCCGTGATGAGCGCCTCAACGATCCTAGACTGCGCGTGCGACGGTTTCGAAAGTCTTCTTGAAGCTTTAAGGTCCCTATACAAAGGCTTAACGATCTAGAAAAGAGTTTTACGGAGGATAAGGGACCCCTAACAGAGACCCCCAAATAGTAGGATTCCCATATTATCAGAACCCCAATAAGTAATTGGAAGCTAGGATCCCTTGCTTGATGACCTCTACGGAGCGGGCTGCAGATGGCATCGAGATGGCCGCCACAGGAGCCGCCTCTAGCTGGTGCGTTGACACGGCATAGTCCCCGTTCTCGTCCACTCTGATGTGCCTGCATTGGCCACATGATTCCACCCCACTACCACCCAGCATGAGCTTTTGGTCGCACTGCATGTAGAGATTCTGGTGGAGGCAGTCCGGCAGCAGGAAAGGATCAGAGGACAAGAAGGCACCTAAGAACTGGCGCCTCTTCGTGGTCCGCCAACACACTTCTGCATTCGACATCCTGCAAACTTGCGACTCTTTCTCCCAGGCCCGCAACTTGCCACTGATGCCCAGCTGCCGGTAGAGAGTGTCGCAGCCCCAGTAGAACCAGCACTGGCTGCTGGAACCAACAGAGCCAGCCCAGAAGAACTTGCACAAGGGCTGTTCGGCACACATCTCCTGAAAGCTCGCGCAAGCAAGGCATGCTGGCCGGAAGCTTTGCCAAAGGTTTTCTTGCTTTCTCATGCGCAGCAGGCACCGAACCCTTCAAGCGCCCCCCCCCCCCCCCCCGGCCCGAAGTAGATTGAGAGCTTCTGCACAACGCAACACGGCAAAACAATCACAGCTCCTCACAAAACTCTGCATCAACGGTTTCGGTGTCCAGGGCCACACGAACGTTCAGCAAGTACTTCTGGTCACAGACGAAGGCGCCTTCTACAATTGTCTCCGGCGCAGGAGTGAACATGTTGGAGCTGCCAGCCGGAACATCTTCGATGGCATCGGGTGTGACAGGTCTGTCGTTGCCCCATGAATCAGGCACGCACTGGCAGGGGTGCAGCCAATGGTCCTCAGAAAACGACACCGCTCAGTCCCGGTGAGGGCTTTAGACTTTAGACAACTTACGCTGTTGACCTCTGATGCCTTCAGGCCTGGGGGCAATGAGCAAAGCAGTTTCACTTTCCAGGCTTGTTCGTTCGGTGTGAAAAGAGAACTTCTGCATACTGACCCATCCACAGACCCCCGTAATACCTCCCAGACCACCCCAAGAATTGCAAGCTCTCCCCCCCAAAGCCCGAACAGCCCTGAACCAGAAAACGCAAATTTGCTCCCTAGCCCAGGGGTCTGCGACCAGCTCCGTGGAAGGGTTGTCCAACACCAGCCTCTCGACAAACATGGCCTCCTCCCCGGACACCTCCTCGTCCTCACGGTCAAACGGTCCAACACGCTCACTATATGGTGCTATGCGAGAATAAGGGGCCCCTAGACCCACAAAAATAGGATTTCCTTATAAACAAGACCCCAATAATAGGGTGCCCCTAGTGTCGAAAACCCCCCCCCCTCCCCAAATCTGGCAGTATTGATACGACTCGGTATCGCGATAAGTGATCCGTGGCGGCCTCCGTCTGGATCTTCTGGGCCAGGGTCAGGTTCGGAGCGCCACAGCCTGGCACCACAAGCTGGGCGTTGCCAGGGTAGCCTCGGCTGAGCCCCGACTTGAAGTTTGGGGCTTTGGGTGAGGGTTTTTCGGGCGTATGTGTTTGTGTTGTTGGATGAAGATACGGTGCTTATGACATGAAGTAGGGTTTGGTTCATATTCCTTGTATCCTCAAAAGGACACCCAATATATACAGTCACCAACACGAAAAAGGAACGGTATATTGTATACACTCACCAATAACAGTACTATAAACCCTGCTTCACATGATCCCGGCGGCTGGTCTGCGAGTCTGCGAGAGCCAGCTCGAAACTTTGCGGCGAAGAGCTGAAGATGTTCGACACCAAGTCGCTGTCGGCCAGGCAAGCCACGCCTTCTTCAGCCATGGCGGCAACAATACAAACCACTACAAGTAGTCCTCAAAAAGGGCTTTGGGAGGTTTGTAGAGTTCGAGGGAAGGGAAGAGCCGGGGGGTCGAGATCTCTTAGAAGAGCATGTGTTCCTCTACATTTTCCCACCTACCCTCCCTGCCGGCGGTAGTGAAAGCCTGAAGCAACAGCCCTTCCTGCTCGACCCTGACGCGCCAGCCTTCTCCGTGCAGCTCCATGTAGAAGGCAGAGAAGTTGCGGTAGTCGCCTACGATTGCCCTTAAACCCTCTGAAAAATATTTTTGAGTTTTTTTACCTCAAGAAAGAAAATGTGAAATGTCCCAAGGGTCTACCGGGTCGCTTTCGGAAGGCGACTGCAACATCCAGGCCTTACCATCGCACTGCGATCCCGTGATCCTGTCCTCGTCATAGGCGGTTAGCCAGAACGAATCCTCATGCGTGCGGCCGTTCTTCAGAAAGATCTGGCCGCCTGGCTCCTTATTCTCCCCTGCAGGGCAGTACTCACCGGAGAGGTAGAATAGGGAGTCAATGTCCAGAAGGATGCAGGAGGTTCTCTCACCACAATGGGGGTTCCGTGCGAAGAGCGTAACGCTGTGCTCACAGTCCCCCTCGCAGCGCTGGCTGTACTCATAGCACTGCGACTCCGCGCTGTCCCACTTGTAGTGGGTGCAGTCGGCTTTCGCTCGGCACAGACTCCTACAGGCCTGCTCAGACGAGATGCTGCCCTCCTGGAAAGTGCTTCGTGCTGAGAAGCTTCGGGTCTGACTTGGCCAGCAGGTGTTGTCGCGGAAGTCCATGGTGATGCTGTGCAACAGCACTGGCCCAGTGCGGAGAGGTGGCCACTCCTGGATCATTCTCATTGTCTGTTTACTTCGACAATCCACGCACCCTAAGACTATAAGCATTTTCATGGGCACGGTAGGATTGAGCGCTCCAGGGATATGCCGTGAGATGTGGATTCATGTGGATTTTCTGGGAGGGCCTCCCGGTGATGGAATGTGGGACTTGATTCGACCTTATCCTTACGAGGTCTGACAAGCTCAAAGCCTTCCCAACAGCGACTCAGACGCATAGTGGGCGAAGATTGTGAAGGTCCGAACCAGGCTCGCACGCGTCGAGGAAGCATCTAGCAGGTCCGCCAACTCCAGCGCTGGTGATAGGGTCAGGGCCCCTGTCTCCTGCATCATTGATGGGATACTCTTGACATTCCGCTTGCTTCTTACGCATTGCAAGGTGAAACCGCATTGCCAACAAAGACTTTCTAAACATGACGCAGTCTCGATGTTCAGCAGGAAGAGCTCGACGCCTTTGTACGTGCATTCACCCGTCAGGATGTCAAAGGTGAAGTCAGTCTTGTCGGTGGAGTCCTCCTCGTGCACCTGGCAAAGTTGTCGAACCTATGCAGAACTTCCACACCCTCTAGCCGTGATTCACACGCCTTCATGTGGAGATTCTGCGTGCGCTTGCAAGAACAATTGCTTCTACCTACGGATCCTGGGAAGGTGCCTTATAACACGCGAGGCGCGAGATGAGAGTCGAGCAAGCCGAGACGCACAATGAGAGAGGTCGTTGGCAGCCCAGCTCGGGCTACTAACATCCTCGCACAACAAGAAAGTCCGAAACCCAAGAATCCTAAACAGAAACCTAAACCTGAAACTTACCATGCGCAAGCCTCGCAAGCCTACGAAGCCAACCAGGCCTGTGCCGAAAAGCGTGTCGGCGCAAGCCGTCCGCTCTGGCCACGGGGCTTTAGTGTCCTCAGAGCCACAGGCAACGGCCCCTCAAGAAACAGGCAAATACAGTATCTGTCAACCTTTCGGATGTAATTCTTCTGGCTTTGCTTCGCCTGGGTTTCTTCACCCGAGATACTCGCGGGGCTTTATTTTGAGGGCTCCTCTCTGAAGAATTCACCCTAAACCCTTCACCCTAAACCCTAAACCCTAAACCCTTCACCCTAAACCCTAAACCCGAAAACCCTAAACCCGAAAACCCTAAACCCTAAAGGGGCAGCTCTTGGGGCGCCCAGAGAATCCCGCAGAGAGTACTTCCGAGTATGGGTTTAGGGTTTGGGTTTAGGGTTTAGGGTTTAGGGTTTAGGGTTTAGGGTTTAGGGTTTAGGGTTTCCTTGGAGTGCCCATCCGTCTGAAAATGGCGGCATGGCTGGCATCAGGTAGCTGCTGGGTGGGATGATCGAAGTAAAAAATTTGTAGTTGGTGATTTGTGTTTGTTTTCTGTGATCAATGGGCTTCAATATGGAACACTAATCAACACAGGCTGACTGACAAGATCATTTGCGCACAACACGCTGTTTTGAAATATACGGCCCGTGTGTCAAAACACGACGACAACCACAACAACTGCAGCAGCAACAGCAGCAGCAACAGCAGCAGCAACAGCAACATAAACAGCAGCAGCAACCTCAGCAGCAACAGCAGCAGCCGCAACAACAACAACAACATCAGCAGCAACAGCAGCAGCAGCAACAGCAGCAGCAACAGCAACAGTAACAGCAATAGCAACAGCAACAGCAGCAGCAGCAACAAAAATAACACTATTTCCAATAGTCATGACCATGGTCTGTGAGCTCGCAAGGCGAAAGCCGAGAAGCCGGGAAGCCGCCAAGGCAGCAACAAATCCAAATAGGAAAGAAATGCAGAAGCCAGAAGCAAACAACAAGAACCCTAAAACACAAACAAAATAGCTGGCCGAGAAGCCAGGAAACTAGACACGACGCCCAAAAGCGGACACGCTGGGGGGCAAGAAGCCAGCCTGTGTTTGATGTTTGGCTTGCATTTGCTGATGATCCTTCGTTTGACGATCCCCTTGATTGATGTCCGACTGTCTTTGTGCAGTTCTTATCCCTACAGTACGCCGGCTCGGCATCGACAAGGCGTCTGCCGGACCGCCAGAACGGACACGCTAGGGTGCAGGATCCAGAAAGTTTTAAATCCGAAGGTCGGTGAGACCTCGCCAAGGCTAGCGTAGAGGGTGCCAGTGTAGCCGTAGTCCAAAGACTCCCAAATCTTCGGCTTGAGCACTACAAAGCGAGTCCTGAGCTTGGATGCGAAGTGATCATTGCTTCGCAGCCGAGTTGAAGGCACAAAAAAAAGTGCGGAAAAGAACTGCCCAACAACGAGCCGGGGTCGTGGAACTGCCCTGGGTCAGCTCACAGATGCCTCCGGCGGTCCCATTCAGCGAGGTCTTGTCGCCTTCTGCATCAAAGGTCAAACCCCCGCTGGCGGAGTCATCGACCCACGTCAGCTTGCCGGTGCTTGGATCTACCTGTGGCTCCATTTATCTACCCCCGAAATTCTAGAGCATGTCTCTATTTTGATAGGTATGCATTCTCTGTGTTTATCTCATCCCTTTTACTCCTTCCTGCCTTCTTGCCTGCCGGCCTGTAAGCAAGCCCCCAAGGCCGCCCCTAGGGCGGGGGTCACGAATATGATCAGATGAGCCGGCCCTGTAAATCACAAGGACTGACATTTAAGCCTCGCAGTAACCATCTAACCTTTTTGCTCTGCTGCCGGAGGCTTAAGATAGAATGCCCGCCATTGTTTCTTTCCTTCCGAAACGGCTAGGAAATCCGCCAGCCCTCTCTCGACCACTGGAGGCGTGGAGTCTGGAGACGAGCACTCGAATTGGATTCACCTCGTCTTGCAGTCAAGGGACTGCCAGAGCATCCGCCACCTCTTTGGGCGCACAAGCCAGATCATGAAAGGTCCCATCCTGCTGGCTCTCAGGCTCGTAGGTCTCACCCGAATAGAAGATCAGCGGCGATGACCCGTAGGAGAAGCCCTCATGGGCCGTCACCGTCAGCTCGGCTGTGGCAGTGGCCTCTGTAACATCGCGACAATGACAAGACTCATCCTAGTTTTCCGGACAGGCTCGCTTGACCCGAGACTGCCCCGCCCTCTCCAACAATGGACTTCAAACCAGCAAGCCCGAACTTATCGAAATATTTCGTGTTTCTCGGAGTATCCTCCTCCTGGCACTGCTGAGAACCCTTTTCCCCAAACCCTAGACCCTGTAAGGTTTTGAATATCAGTCAGGGGCCAGCAGCTGCCGCTTCACAGCTCTAACTAGAGGAAACTCCTTTATCGGCACATCCAGCTACCAGCTCATGTGCACTGGGATCCACTTGATTGCGAGCATCCGAACATAGCACGACGTCTTGAAAACAAAAACCAACGAGTCGAATTACACATGTCCGATCTCAATCTACAGATTCATGCACAGGCTTTCAGTGAAACTGAAACATGTTCCTGAATATGATCCTCTTAAACCACAATGAGGGAAAAAATGTCCCAAGGGCCTACCTAGTCTTGAAGCCTGTGAGCTGAGGCGGCAGCAGTGCGTTCGACGGGGCAAACGTAAACCAAGAAGGTGCCGGTATCACCACCCTCAATGCCGTTGCCGTACAGGCTGATGGACGCCCCGGCCTCGTAGTCCCGCTTGTACACGGCACCCGGCCCAAGCCTAGCTCGTGAGCGATCCACCTCAGCCAGTTTGATACCTGCTGTGACGGTTGGTGGGGCGAGGGTGGAGGTGGTGGTAGTTGTGGTGGTAGTTGTGGTGGTGGTAGTGGTGCTGGTTGTGGTGGTGCTGGTTGTGGTGGTGGTGGTGGTCTCAATAGCGACGCCATCGATCGAGGACAGCACCCAGGCGGAGCGGTCTGGCCAACTTGCAAAGCCCAGGTCCTCTTGCCCGTCCCACATGTCAAGATAGACGGTAGAGGCAAAGGGTGCTTTGATGCTCCACTGCACCTCGCGAAAGCAAGACTTGCTGCATGTTTGAATGAAAACCCTGAATGAGTTACAAGCTCCTATGCCCAGGGCAGAAGCCTGCCTGCGGAGGCTGCGTCGTCTTCATGTCATTATTCTGGCCGCGCACATAGATGCAAGCTTCGTCATAGCCCCCGAGCGAAGTGAAGATGTAATGGCTGTCGGTGAACACCAACGTCTCCTCCAGAGCCGCATTGAACCAGCTGATGGTCTCGACATCGCCAGTTATTGGAGTCGCCTGGATCTCGTCCAATGGGCTTTGGATGTTCTGTTGCGCGGTGACAGTGCAGGTCACAGAGAAAGGCTCGGTAGAGCCGCAGCCAACAGTGTTGCACCCATCCGCTAGCATCAGCTCACCGGTAGTGCCGCTCACGGTCAGCCCATACTCCAGAAGTTCACAGTCGTCATTCAGGAAGTAGTGGGCTGCCGTTCGTGGGACAGGGTATCCCAAGACACTTGTGGCACCTCGGCCATGGGATGCGCACCCGTGATTTATGATCTTTCTGTCCCTACACTTTGCCAAAACGGGCACCCAGTATACACACTCACCAACTCAAGATAACTCAAGACTCATCAAACTATCTAAGGAACCCGATAACCACTCGCCCAAAACAAGACTAAAGACACTACCTCCACATGACATCTGGATGAAGCGCTGTGCTTCGAGCCGACGGCACAGGCCTAAGTAGGCCGAGGTGCCTATGACCACAGCTCCAACATAATAGCCGAAAGCCGTGGCTGCGCGATGACCGCCACCACATTTGCAGCAGGCTTCCGAGGCGGAGATTCCGTTGACCTTTTCGTCCGTGCACGAGTCGTCCAAGTCGAAGCAAGAGACGCCATCGGCACTTTCCCAGGACACCATGTCCATGCATGCTTGGCACCTGCCATCCTCCAGCTGCACAAAGCCACCCGCGCATGTCCTGCACGAGCCAGGAAAACCAGCATTTTCCGCAACGTCCTCGCAACCACCACAGTGCAAGCCATCTTGCTCGCAGCAGGCCACTCTGTAGGAGCCGTCCCAGCCATGGTTGTAGATTGGGATCGCCCTGCTGGCGCTTGTGGGGTCGCATTCTGGAGAATACTGCTCCCTGCGGCTCGTCTGAGCAAGGACTCTGGGTGAAGTGCGATGCGCCAGGCACATCTCGAAGCCGGAGGTTTCAGCGGTGTGACCACGTCCATGTGGGATGTGGGCGGCGAGTCCTTCTTCCGGGGCAGCCCTCGCGAGCCTTGATGTGGAGACCTCTTTCTGCAGGTTCTCCAAGGCCTTCTTCTGCTCAGCGGCGCCTTTCAGAAGAGTATCCAGCTTTGTCAACACCTCCATGGTTCTCTGCCCAGCTTGGCTCTGCACAGCCTCAGCCTGGCTCTGCACAGCCTGGCTCTGCAAAGCCTGGCTCGGCACAGCCTGGCTCTGCACCAACGCCACGCCTCCTGGTGAGCTTGGTGGGCTGCTGGGTGGGCCGCTAGGTGGGCCGCTAGGTGGGCCGCTAGGTGGGCCGCTGGCCGGGCCGCTGGCCGGGCCGCTGGCTGGGCCGCTGGCTGGGCCGCTGGCTGGGCTGCTGGCTGGGCTGCTGGCTGGGCTGCTGGCGGAGCTTGCCGCGCTGGTGATTAGGAGCTGGTCAAAGTCACCATCCTCTTCGTCTGCCAGCCCTCGGTGTGGCTGCTGGATGATGTAAACACAGGCCCCTGGCTCAGCCAAGAACTGCACCGTGGCGCGTTGGTCAAAACGCGTCGTCCTGCAGATTTCCGCTATGAGTGCTGGGCCTTCTCGGTTACATGCGAACGGTGTGAATAGGACTTTGCTGCATAGATAGAGCTCCTCGGACCTTCCTATGATTTAACCGTGAGACCTACATGACCAGGCCAACCAATCTACTTTCGGCCACCGCTCCCACGCCACGGGTCACTGCAAGCGAGTCTGCCCACGGTGTTATCTTCACAGCCAGCACGCGAGCACGTGTCGTTGTAGGTCTTGAAGGCCGCGAGCTGGTGGTCAAACTGCGCGGTGCCTGACGCGAGTAACAACGGCGCTGGACCGTCCGATCCAACAAGCGTGCTTGCGAGCTCTTCCGGCCAAGACTCTGACCTTCACCAACCTACCCCGCCAGGCCTGTCCCGCAAGTCGTCGCGGTCACGAGCCGACTTTCGTTCAGCAGGTTGCAGTAGAGGAAGAGCTCCTAAACCCTAAACCCTAAACCCTAAACCCTAAACCCTAAACCCTAAACCCTAAACCCTAAACCCTAAACCCTAAACCCTAAACCCTAAACCCTAAACCCTAAACCCTAAACCCCAGCTCCTGGAATGTGTCCAGAATCAGAGGGCAACCTTCCAAGATGGTGTTGTTGGAGCTGGCCCGGCTCCTCCAGGGCCCGATTTCATCAACGACGAGTCTGTCCGTGCAAGGAACCTCCCTAAACCCGAAACCCTAAACCCTAAACCCTAAACCCTAAACCCTAAGCCCTAGACCCTAAACCCTAAACCCTACATGCTGCCAAACCCAAGCCTCAGGTTGCTGATGGTGAAGTTGCAGCCCAAGAAGCTCTCGGTCTCATTGCATGTTTCCCTGGGCTCCACGTCGCCCTGGAGTTTGTACATGTTTGTACCCTTTTGCAGCAAGAGAGACAACACCTCCTCTCCCCATGCAACTACCCACCTCTCCCAGCAACCACCCACCTCCCCAACAACGTGATCTTCTGAAACCCTAGACCCTAAACCTATGGCCATCCCGGGTAAACCCTCAAAACGCAGGTGCCTCCAAAGTGCAGGGTCCCGGTGGCGGGGAGAAGGTTGACCGCCGCTGCGACGGCCTCTGCGAGTCCGTTGCAGTACAGAGGCTCCACCCTAAACCCTAAACCCTAAAACCTAAACCTTAAACCCCAAACCCTAAACCCCAAACCGCGCACGGAAGATTCCAAGACTGAAGTTTTCGCAGTTCTGGGCGTCCGCCTCGACCCCGAGGCCGCAAGGGCCGACAGATTCTCGAAAAGCTGCTCGTACCTCCAAACCGAAGTTCTGAGGGCCAAAAAAACCCTAAAATGGGGGCTAAATTAGGGTACTAGGGGCTAGGTTAACTAACATCTTTGCGTGTGAAGTCACATCTCCCCAGTGACAGTGACACGCGGCCGCGAGCGAAGTCACATCACCCCGCGTAAAGTCGCATCACAAAGACATATGTTGAAGCCGTTTCCCCAATGTGCACGCGCCGCACGCGCATGTTCTCGACACACATGCAACATACGCATTTGTCACCGCACGCCTGGGAGGGGAGCACATTTGTGTGAGCACAAAGACAGCAATTGATGCCATTCTGCGAGTGCAAGCGCGCGAGAGAGACTTGGACCTCAAACAACCGCGTTCGGTCAGTAGTCGCGCGACATGCACATGTTCCCGACACACAAGCAAAGTATGCAGTTGGCACTACACGCTCGAAAGAGAAGCGCTTGTTGTCTGCAAGGTCTATATGTGGGTAGTGACCGCATGTGCTTCTGCGCGAGTCCCGCGCGAGCCGTTGCGAGGGCCGCGCGTCCATGGGTTGAAGGGGGCGGCTTTGCACGCCAGGAACTTTGCCCCTAAAGATGCAGGGTGTTGTCGTGAATGAGATTTCTGCTCGGTGGTGCAAGTGGGTTCTGACCAATCTTGGAATTTGCGAATCCCCAGTGTGCACGCGCCCGAGATACGACTTCACACAAGAAGATACGACTT